AGAAATGGGTAGTGCGCCCCCATGCTCACAGCAGCACTGCTCCCAACGGCCAAGAGACGGAAAACACCGCGTCCATCAGTGTGTAAACGCACAAACGAAACATGGTCTATCCGTACAACGGAACATCATTCAGCCTTACAAAGGAAGGGGACTCTGACACACGCTGCAACCTTGACGACATTATGCTGTGTGAAATAAGCCAGTCACGAAAAGGTAAATACTAATTCCACTAATACGAAGTACCTAGAGGAGTTCAATTCATGGAGACTGAAAGTAGAAGGCTGGCTGTCAGGGGCTGGAGGGAGGGACGGGAGTAACCGCGTAATGGAGACACAGCTGCAGTTTGGGAAGATGAAAAAGTTTCTGCAGACAGACGGTGGTGATGGTTGCACAATATGCATGTACTTAATGCCACTGAACTGTACACTTAAAAATGGCTAAAATGGTAAATTTTGTTACATATATTTTCTCACACACACACACACATGCACGCACGCACAAAAAGACCAGCCAGGAGCAACTGCGGTCGCTGTGGGGGAGGGGCGGGCAGTACAATGAAAAGAGCTGGTCCAAGTACAGAGCTGGCTGGGGCCTGGCAGGTAACAAATGCTTAAAAATACGGCAGCCCTGACTCATTCATTCATTCAACAGACACACCGTTTCTGCGCCTGGCTCTGTGTCCAAGGCAGAGAGAACAGACGTGGCTTGGAAGGCACTCACCGAAGAGGGTGGCACAGCCAGAGAAACAGCAGCCGCACAGGTGGAGGCTCAGGCAGGCGTACAGACGAGCCCAGGCCTCCACCTCCCACACCCAGGCAAGGGACGTGCGTGCACCGCGCCTTACCCGCAATCCAGTCGTAGCCCAGGTACGGCCTGAGGCGCCAGCTCCTCTCAGGCACTGCAGACTCCTCGGAGAAGTTCACTCTGGGCTGAGCGGGGAGGAAAAGGCAGGGAAGAGCTAAGCCACAGGCCTGGCCCAGAGGAGGCCACACCTCGAGGGAAAGAAAGAGACTGCATCTGAACTTACCCCTGACTTGGGCCTGGGGCTCAGCCAAGGGCTCAAGAACTAAAGGGTAAAAGTTTGGCCCCACGTTATATATGACTTTGCGCAAGTCTGGCCCCTGAGCCTCACTCTTCTCATCTGAATAATGGGACACGTCACCTTCTCCTCAAAGTGCTGTCTGAGAAACTAAAGGCCACCACTGATCAAGCACCAAGGCTGCACTAGATTCAACTCACAGTATTGCCCAGAAGCCTCTCACCCTACAAGGAGGCTGTCCAGGAGCACATTTGTCAGACAGGGAAACTGAGGCTCAAGGAAGCTCCCATCTATGGATGTCCCCTCTCCCATGTTACCTTGGACAGCTTGCTTCGTTGAGCCAAGATGGACTTCAGGGCCCGTTCCTCCTGGGGCCCCAGATCACCCAGCCCTGCAGAAAACTCTGGGTCCCCCAAGTCTGAGGTGGCCAGACAGGGTGCTGAGTTGGATCTCAGCTGGCCCAGGGACTCCTGGTGCTGGCGTTTGGCAGGCGGGAGGGAGACTGTCCTCGAGCTGGCCTCATCACAGGGGTCACTTCCGTGGGCATGTGGTGGGCCCCACACGTAGCACTTGTCCCGAGGGCAGGAGGCTCGTGAGGAGGTTGAGGAGGTCTCTTGAGACAATGACGTCTCTGAGTCATAGCTGCTGCTGGAGTCCTGGCTGGACTGGAAAAGAGGGGCCAGATCACCGAGGGAGCGGCCCACTGGAGCCCACCTACCCACGTGCCAGGCACCAAGGCCTAGGTCCTCATCCTGCTCTGGCGGCAGCGTCCCAGGACACTTCCTCACCAGGCCTCGGTGTTCCCATCCAAACTAGGCATGTCGGACAAGATGACCCTGGAGGTCTGCATGCTGACCTGAGGTTGGACAGACCCTTCCTCGTCCCCTGGGGGTTCCCAAGGTGGACACCCACCTCTGAGGCCGCCCTGGCCACCGACTGTCGCACAGCATCCTGCCCAGCCCACAGCTGCCTCAGGAGCTCCAGGTTGAGCAGCCGCAGCTGCAGCAGGTCCTCAGTCTCCACCATCCTGGAGATGCTCCAGCTTCCCACAGCGGGTGTCACTGGCCCCTGGGCTGCCAGATGTCCTTAGGGCTGGGCTCCAGGCCCAGCGCTTCTACCTGAAGTCAAGACAGTGCGACACAGGACTGAGGAGGGTATCCTGGGGTGCCAAAGGCCTGAGTTAAAACCCCAATCAAAAAACCCTTTTTTTTTTTTTGGACACAGGGTCCCGCTCTGTCACCCAGGCTGGAGTGCAGTGGTACCACTACAGCTCGCTGCAACCTCAAACTCCTGGGCTCAAGTGATCCTCCTGCCTCGGCCTCCAGAGTAGCTGGGACTACAACTACTAGCACCACCACACAGGGCTAATTTTTCTATTTTTTTGTAGAGACGGAGTCTCACTCTTGCTCAGGCTGGTCTCGGGCTCCTGGTCTCATGGGATCCTCCTGCCTCGGCCTCCCAAAGTGCTAGGATTACAGGCATGAGCTACCGCACCAAGCCTGTATCCGATACTCTTTAACTGCGTAGACTCAGGCAAGTTATCTAACCTCTTTATGCCTCAGTTTCCTCATCTGCCAGACAGATGCTAACAGTATCTACTTCATAAAGCTGTTGTTAGGATTAAACAAGGTAATGCAAGTTAACTCTTAATACAGTGCGTGGCACACGGTAAACAGTCAATAAATGTCTAATATTCTAAAATGACCAGAGTGTGTTTCCTTATCTGCCCAAAGAGACTAATTCCCCGTTAATAACCTTAGCCATGAAATTAGACTAGTTTAATCTGCAGAAAACAATTAGTGCAACTATGCAAATGTAAAGCTTTATAGCTTGTGAATCCAACACAAATCAAGCTTCTGAAGGATTATTCCTTCTTTCCTGCCCTTCCTTCCTCCTTCCTTTCGACACATGAAGAAACCAAAGTTCAGAGAGGTTAAGCAACTTGCCCCAAGTCACAAAGCTAGTAAGTGGCAAAGCCAAGATCTGAAGCAAAATCTGGCTCCAGGGTCCACGGTGACAGCCTTTCCCGGGCAGTACGGGGAGAGGCCTGGGGAAGCTCCTCCTCCTCCCAGTCCTTGGTCCCCCAAGGATCCTTAGAGCCGGCTGCGGGGACTGGAGCAGACAGAAACGACTACACTGGCACCTGCCCCCCCATATGCCCTCATAAGGTGGGGGCGCAAGGAGCTGCAGACAAGGGAGACCAACAGTCTGACCCGCGGGGTCTGAGTGCTGGCCGCCACCCTGAACTGGTCTAGCGGCTCTGAGCCCCACCTTTGTAGTCCGAGGGGCTCCGTTGTCGCACGAGGTCACAGGGCTCGGCCTGCACGACCCTCCGCCAGCTCCAGCCGCGCTCTGGACAGCGAAAGGCTGCAACGGGAACGGGAAGGCGGCGTTCAACAGAGGCCCCGGGGCAGTGAAAGTGACAAGCAGAGAGGGGGACGCCGAGACGGGACCCCCGGGGAAGGGAGACTCGGCCCCCTCTTCTTTCCCCCACGAGCCCGAGCCCGAGCCCTCCGCGGGGGCGCAGGCGGGATCCCCGCCCAGCCCCTCCGCCCCAGCAGGCCCCGCGGCTCCCGCACTCACCGCTCGGCAGCCCCCCGGCTGCACAGCCCCCACCGCCCCCCGTTCTGATTGGCTAGACGCGGGGCGGGGCCGCAACGCCCCGGCGAGCGTTACCCCGCGTTTCGAAGCGGCAGTTTCAACCTGGGGGCGGGGCTAACAGCGGGGCTCCGCAGCCGATTGGTCAACTTCCGAGGCCGGGGCCGGAGGTCGGCGTTTGGGATAGGGCGGGCCCCCGGAGGGCGGGATCCGATTGGTCAGGCGTGGGAAAGGCTGCGCTGTGCTCGGCTGACGCAGCTGCGGAGCAGGGCATGGCGACCTGGGCAGCGTCTCCCGTCGGAAGCTGCGGGATGCTGCGGCGTGGGCGGGGCTGGCGGCGGCCTGCAACCGGTTCCTTCATACTTTCATTCACGTTTTTATCGAGAGCCTACCCATTTGTGTCAGGAGGCACTTACTAGGCACTGGAAGGCAGAGAAGAATTGAGGGGGGGTCCCTGCCTGGAGGAGGGGGAGAAACAGTGGGGAAGATACATATGAAGACTGACACCTGTAATCCTGTCTGTAAAATATGGACCTTATATTGAGTGCCTGCTATGTGCCAAGTTTTTGGGCCAGCTATGTTTCATATGCCAATGCATTCTAGCCTCATAAATATGATCTGAGTATTATTGTCCCATTTTATAGAAAAATCCACGAGGCTATAAGAGATGAAGTGACTTGCCAGAACGTTTTGAAATCAGTGTAGTAAACACAAGTCCATCTGAGAAAAATATAATCAGTGTAATTCACTATATTATTAATAACAGAAAGAAAGGAAAACCATCTCAATAGAGGCAGGAAAGTCCACTAAGCATTGTCCCTTTTTCTTAGTTGGAAATGGGAGGTGTCTCCTACCTTGGAGAGATATTCTAGCATTTGGCAAAATCCAACATTCATTTCTGATTTTTAAAAAACTTCCAACAAAGTTGGAATGGAAGGGGACGTCCTCATCCTAATAAAAGGCATCTCTGAAATACAGCTAACAGCATATTTCATAATAAAAGCCTGCTTTCCCTCTAAGATCAGGAAAAGACAAGGATGTCTGCTTTGGCCACTTCCATTCAATATTAGAATAGAGTTCTAGCCAGTGCAATAAGGAAGGAAAAAGAAAGAAAAGGCATCTAATTGGAAAGGATGAAGTAAAACCGTCATTATTCATGCACAACATAATAGAAACTCCCATGAATCTGCAAAAAAGCTACTAGAATTGTTAATGAATTTTGCAAGATTGTAGGATACAAGATCAACATACAAAAATCAGTTGTATGCTATATATTAGCAATAAATAATCAGAAATTGAAAAATAATACTAATACTGTTTACAATAGCATCAAGAAATATGAAAATAAAACGGGTAAATCTGACAAAAAATGTGTAAGACCTGCATATTAAAACTTGTAAAACATTATTGGGAGAAATTAAGGAAAACTTAAATAAATGGAGAGATACGTTCATGGGTTAAAAGACTCGATATTTTTAAGATGTCAGTTTTCCTCAAGTGGACCTATAGACTTAACGCAATCCCAATCAAAATCCCAGTAAGTTTTTCTTGTAGAAACTGGCAATTTCTAAAATTGATACGGAAATGAAAAGGACCTAGATAGCCAAAACAATTTTGAAAACAAAAAACAAAATCAGATAACCTATACTACGTGTTACAAGGTTTATTCTAAAGCTACAGTAATCAGGAAAGTATGGTATTGGCATCAAGGTAGACAAATAGATGAATGGAACAGAATAGAAAGTCCAGATATATGATCAATTAATTTTTGACAAAAGTGAAAAAGCAATTCAGTGCAGAAAGGACAGTCTCTTTAACAAATAGTGCTGGAGCAATTGGATATCCACATGCCAAACACGCAACACCCACAAAACAAATTTTAAAAACCCTTTATACCTTGTACCATATGCAAAATTTAACCCAAAATGGATCATAAACCTTTTTGTAAAACCTAAAACTATAAAACTTCTAAAAGAAAACCTGAAAACCTAACCTAAGAGAAAATCTTCATGACCTTGGATCAAGCAAAGATTTCTTAGATGTGATACCAAAAGCACAGTCCATAAAAGAAAAATTTGATAAATTGGATTTCATCAAAATTAGTAGCGTCCACTGCTTGTAAGACATTGTTAAGAGAATGAGAAGACAAACCAAAAGACTGGAGAAAATATTTGGAAATTACATATCTCATAAATAATTTATATCCAGATAATATAAAGAAGTCTCAAAACTCATAAGAAAACCAACAATCCAATTTTTTAAGTGGGCGAAATAACTGAACAAACATCTCACCAAAGAAGAGATAAAGGTGTCAAGTAAACACATAAAAGATGCACAACATAACATTAATATACCAAAATATTGGCAAGGATGAGGAAAACTGAAACCTGCATGCAGTGCTGGTGGGAATATAAAATGGTACAACCGCTCCGGAAAACAGTTTGGCAGTATCTTAAAAAGTTAGACATAAATTTGCCATATGACCTAGCAATTCCAGTCCCAAAAGAAATGAAAACAGGCGGGGCGTGATGGCATGCGCCTGCAGTCCCAGCTACTCTGGAGGCTGAGGCAGGAGGATCGCTTGAGCCCAGGAGTTTGAGGTTGCCGCGAGTTCGAGCTAGGCTGATGCCACGGCACTCTAGTCCGGGCAACAGAGTGAGACTCGGTCTCAAAAACAAAAACCAAAAAACCACACCAGTCCGATGCACCATTCTGTCCTGCCTGGAATGTTGCAGCTGCCTCCTGACTGGTCTCATTGCTTCCATCCTTCCTCCCTGTTGTCTACTCTGCACATAGCAGCATGGGACCCTATTAAGATGTAAGCGAGCTCCTGTCATTCCTCGGCTCAAAACTCTCCAATGACAGCTACCTCACTCACAGAAAAAGACAGAGTCCTTATAGTGGCCTGCAAGACCCCAAGTCTGCCCCAAGTTCCTTTACACACATTTTCTCCTACCACTTCCCCACCTCCGTCACTCTGCTTTGGCCACAGTAGTCTCATTGGGCATGCTCCTATCTCAGGGCCTTTGCACATGCTGTTCCCTCTGCCTAGAAAGATCCATGCAGATATCCCACGACTTCATCCCCCACTGTCTTCATTTAAGTCTTTCTTCAAATGCTGTCTTCCAGTGAGGCCACCCCGAGCACACTATTGTTACCCTCCCACATGTAGCATAGCCCTTATCTTCTGACCTGTGTCTTTTACCTGATTAATCTTGCCTATTTTCTGCCTTCACTCACTAGCATACAAGCTCCACAGAGGCAGGGATTTTTATCCACCTTAATCACTGCTGTATATCCAGTGCCCAGAACTATGCTTAGCACTTACTAAGCACTCAAATATTTTGCTGAATTAATGAACTTCCTCATTTGTACAAAGGGGAAAATAGATCACTGGGTTTTTCAGAGGATTAGGGTTCATGCATATGAATGTATGACACATGCTAAGCTCTCAGTCAAAGTTGGCTGTTCTTAAGCCTAAGAGTCTGACTCAGACAAAACATCATGCCCTTGAGGACAGAGTGAACTTAGCTGACATCTGCGAGGAGGGTTCCGTTTCAGGAGAAGCCCTTGTGAACCAGATGCTCTCCCTGTTCAGGCTGCCTGGGTCGTCTCCCACAGTGCCTGGGACAGAGAGGCACATTCCTGCCTACATACTCTTTGTGATTAAATGGGGACATTTACCGCAGGACTAAACATTCCAGCCTCTCAGATTCCCCAGAATGTCCAGTAGACAGATGAGGGAGTCTTGAGAAACCACAGGAATGAGTCTGGCCTTCACTGGGAATAAGAACTAAGCCGTGTGGAAGTGAGGCAGCAAGGTGTAGAACACCCTTTTTCAAACTATGGGTCATCACCCAAGAGTAGCTGGTGAACAATTTAGCGGGTTGTAAATAGCATCTTGTTTTTTTTCATGTCAGACGGGTACTGTGCCGACATCGTAACAAGGATTAAGGGAGGCACATCTCATGCATGCATGTGAAAACCCAATCATCATGCTTATGAACTACAAAAGGATCGAGCATCTTGTTAATGTCAGCAACTACCTGTGTGTTGCAGGAAAAAAGTAATGATTACTTTAAATTTTTTGTTTCATTTACACATAGGAGTGTGCTGGATCACAGTATGTTTATTTTTGTCTATTTTAATTTTTAGAGATGGGATCTATGTTGCCCAGGCTGGAGGGCAGTGGCTCTCACAGACAAGATCATAACACACCACAGCCTTTAACTCCTGGCCTGAAGCGATCCTCCTGCCTCAGCCTCTTGAGTAACTGGGACTACGGGTGCACACCACAGTGCCTGGCTCACAACATAGTTATAATTGTGGGTCAGGGCAAAAAATAAGTTTGAAAGCCACTGGGCTCTGGGAAATTAAGGCTTGGGCTTAAACCCAAGCTCCGTCATTCCTCCTCCATCCCCCCAGCTGCTGGGATTTGAGCTAGTCCTAATTTCTCTAAGCCTCATTTTCCACACTGAGTTGAAAACACTAAATACTGAATACACAACACACTTGAAAGTTGCTAGTACTGTGCCCACTGATAGATTTCCAGTGGCATTTGTGAGTTCACTCCTCCAGCGCTGAGGGCCGATAAACTTGTGGACAGTGTTACCAGGATGGGATTCACGCATCCAGTGAGTTTTTACTGAGCTCCAATCCTGTGTCTGGCACTGGTCTAGATGCTGGGTAAATACCAATAAACACAGACAAAAAGCTGCGCCCTTGCGGAGTATATATTCAATAAAACAAAACAATAAAACACGTGTCAGATGATGACTGTTATGAAAAACACACATATTACATATGTTGCAGGGTGAGGGAACTCAGGAGCGCTGGGGACAGGGGAAGGAGAGAGGAGATTTTAAATAGGGTGGTCTGCGTAGACCTCACTGAGGTGACATTTCAGTGCACTTGGTAAAGGAGCTGGCTAGCTGTGGCCAGCTGGGAGGATGGGAGGTGAGGGCTGGGAACCAGGCGCCACTGCAAGGACCTGGGCCTCCACTCTGGGTGGAATGGTGGAGGGTGGCTGGAGGATCAGCAACGTTTTGAGCACAGAAGTAGCATGAGCTGAGTTCCGTATGAGAAGGTCACTAGCTGCTGCCTTGAAACAGCCACTAGATGGCAAGGACAGGGAGGAGGGGACAAGGCAGGAGGCAGGAGTCTGGGTCAGCACTGGGTGGTTGGGATGGAGGTGGGGAAAGTGTTCAGGGTTGAGAGACAGACTTGCAAGGCAGAAACTGACAGATTATTTGCAGCACGTGTGACAGCAGACTCCAGGGTGACACGGGTGTGTGGCCTGGGAATCTGGAGGGATGAGGTGGCCATTAGCTGAGCAGTGGCCTCTGAAGTGGGTGACTAGGGCAGACAGTGGGTGGCACCGGCTCTGGCGTGAGGGGCAGGGAAACTGACGAGCCACACCCAATCCACTCCTGAGGGCCCTTTAAAAAAAAAGAAAGAAAAGTTTGCAACCGAATTCTCAGAAGGCAAAGCAGGATGGACCAGTCTGAGTCATTTACTTTTTAAGTGAAAAATGAATGGCTTGGCATTATAGAGAAATCTGTAAAGAAATCAATGTAGATTTCCTGACTCTTAAAGATCAGTTACACCGCTTGTTCTGAGAGTATGAGGATTCCTTCCAAGAATAAAGAGGAACTCACTGGCAGATGACAGTGGGAACTTTCCCCAAAGTTAAGGTCACTTGAAAACACAGCCTGCAGACTTGGCTACATCCAAGAAGAGTTTGCACAAGAACAGTAAAATGATGAGGCAGAGATCCCACAAGGGTTTCCAACTAGGTTTTATTTTAGTTTCCAATATTACCAGCAATGATACAGGAGTAATTCAGGCAAATACATCACCTTAAATGCGTCAGAGAACTCACTGTGTCAAGCACATCTTGCAGTCCAGCAAATGAACATAAAAACAGAGAACAAAGTTAGCAGCATTAAATTAAAGTGCTTTTTGCCACATTTCTTTCAGAAAGGGTCTCTCCCTCTGTGGTATAAATTTAATTTTACTTATTGTGTAAGAAGCTCAAAATTTCATTCATTCCCCAGGGGAAACATTGAAAAAAATTACTGTTTATTCTAAATTTTTTTTTTTTCAAAAAGAGCACAAAATCCTTTGGAATTGTGTGACATTAATCTTCTCTGACAGGTGTGAGGGGCCCATACGTCCAGGACTGGCGAACACACACAACATCCTGCTGACTGCACATCGGCCTTGGCAGAGCCCATCACTGTCCCACACAACAGGGTAGACTGAGGGTTTGAAGCACAAGCGGGTATGTGGAGAGGACGTCACCTGTGTGGCCACCTACCAGTGCACGGGGGCCACTGAGTCATTTCCCCAAAGCCAGGTGGTGACTGGACTCAAACCCAGCAGGACCGGACTCCACCTCTCTGCAGGGCCCCTGCCCTGTGAGCCGCTTTCTGGGAGAAGCATTACTTATTTCAGGAAGCTCTCCGACCTGTGCTGCAAAGGCTTGTCACCCCAACACCGTTTTCCCCACAGTGAACACCTTGGTGACAGGAGCCTGCTCCCACTTTGACCAGTAATAATCCCAAAACTCAACAACAGGAAACATTTCTCAAAGTTAACCCACGGACAAGTGTGCCAATCAAGGCTCCGGCGATCAGGGAGGCTGAGAGGACGGGTACTGGTTTCCCACAGTCTGTCCCTTGGTGACTGCAATCACTGGCATAGGAAACTCAGCCCAGGGGACTGGTGGCCAAGGGCAGCTTGGGGCACGGCCAGGGTTGGGGATGGAGCCATGTCTCCTGAGGGGCATAAGAGGGATGTAACCAAGCTAGCGGGGCGGGGCTTTCAGGCCCAAGGAGCCCCTCACTCAGTGAGGTCAAGTGCAGGGCCCGCTCTCCAGCCATCCTGGGTGGGGACCACTGCCCCCAGCCTCCCCACCTTCCACCCTCCGTCCTTCTACGACATCCTTGAACCACCTGCACCAAACCAACTTCCGCTAACGATAAAACAGGCCCCCACAGGCAAGGACTTAAACTAGAGCAAGGGACACAATGACAAAAAGAGAGGCCAAGTCCCTCCTCGTCGTGGTGACGCCACCTACTCCAACAGCACCGCCCATCCGACACACCCCCTCCTCTGAGCTGCCGTGGCTCCTCCAGCTGCCTCTGGGCGGCTTTCCCAGCCCTCCCGGCACTGGGCCTGCCTCAGTGTAAGCCCAGGGCACACAGACATGTCTGAGCAGCTCAGTGTGCTGAGGAGCACTGACGCTGAAGGACCACATGGACACAAGCCACAGTCCTTCTGGGACAGACCTGGCATTCTTGGAGCTTTTTCTGATACTTCTGGGAAGAAAGTCCAGTCACCCTCAGGCAGCCTCTCTCTGCGGGGGTGTGGGGTTTCGAGGGCAGAGGAACGTGGGGTGTGCCTGACGCCCTGGGGGCGTCAGTGGGACACTCTGCAGTGCTGGGATCCTTAGCCCTGATTTTCAGCCGACTGAACCTGACAGGGCAGAGCACGGCCTCGCTGCAACTCCTTGGTACCGTGCTGTGCAGTCGTCGTGACAGTCTCCTTTAGGGTATGAGCCAGATCTTCCTGCAAAGGCAGGCAAAGGAGGGGGAAATAACTAGCACTGAAGGGCTCAAAACGGCATGAGACAGTGGGTGCTTTGTTCTCTCGGCAGTGGCCGGGGCAGAGCCGCACGCGCCCCTGGGGGAGCCCACACGCGCCGGGGGCTGGCAGCACCGCCCTCCTCCGCACGGGCTCCGCCAGGCCGCCCACTATCTGCTGGGCTGCAGGTACTGGTGCGTGAACATGTTGAGCTCGCTGTCCAACCACCCAGCTTTATTCCTGCAAAGAAACGGTGTTTTGTGACCATGACAGCTGATCGTAGGCGAGATCGGCACTACCCACCAGGTGCCATCCTGAGCACACCTGACGAGTAGCCTCACTTCATTTCCCAATAACCCTATTCACTCGCGTTTTACAGATGAGGAAAAGGAGGCCCAGAGAGGTTACAGAACTTCCTAGGTCACAGCTATAATCGAGAAAGCTGCGAGTCAGGCTTTTCTGACTCCCAAGCCCACGTCTGCTTCACCCGGGACCACGGGCAAGTCCCCGAACCCTTGGGAACTCAGCTCTCCTGCTTGCCAAGCAAGGGGATGGGGTGCTGACAGGAGGCCCTTTCCAGGTTCAACCCTGTCCCTGTGGCTGACAAGCAGCAGCAGACACACCCACCCACCTCCCGGAGAGTCCCCAGGGAGAACGCTGTGTCCCTAGGAGACGGCTGTCCCGGGGTGGTGGGTAGGGAGGGCACATCCACACAGTCAAGGAAGGGAAAGCCCACCCATCTGGCCAGGGGGCTGGTGCTGACACCCTGTGATGCCATCTCCCCTGTGGCTCCGCTGCCCTGCAGGCGGGCCTCTGCCGTCAGGGGCGGGGGCAGGAAGTACAAGGTCCCTACGTGATGTTATCATGGGCTGAGCGGGCCGAGGACTTTTGCAGAGCGCTTTTACATTCAGTTGTGTGGCTGTGTCGTGAAGTCCCATTTTACAAATGAACCACAGGGAAGTGAAGTGATTTGGCCAAACATGAGCGGCAGGAGAGAAGCCAGGGCTCCCGACCCCTCAGATCGACGCTCTCCCGCAAACTGCTGACGGAAGCCGTGTCTCGACACAGACTCCACAGAGATCTGGGCTCCAGCCTGACCCTACCAGTCCCCAGCCAAGCACCCAGCCTCGCTGTGGGTAACAGGGGGCTGTGCCCCTTCGGGGGCTCAAAGGGAGGTTAAAGGAGGTGTGCGTGGTGGCTCTAGCCCAGCGCGAGGAGACTGAGTGTGCAGGACACAGAGGCCCCTGGGCCAAGCACACCCGGACTCCACTCCTGGCCTGACTGTTCCCTGTGGGATTCCAGATAAGTTCCTCAAGTGCCATGGGCACCAATTTTCCTGTTTTAAAAAGCAGTTGATGATCTGCCCCTCAAGAGATGTGGAAGACTGAAAGAAACAGGCCAAGTGTTTGTTGCAGTTAGATAGACAGTGCCTGGGAGCGGCAACCTCTCGGCACTGTCACGCTTGCTTCCTGTGATGTCACCATGCCCTCCCTGCAAACGCCTGGAGCGGGATGCTGCGTCTTGTTGAGCCTCCAGCGCTGGCACCCTTCGGGCACCCACCTAACACGAGAGAGCTAAATCCCCACCAGAGAGGCTCGTGTCCACGCCCAAGACGCTGGAGCCCGCTGCCCCCAGCCCCCAGCCCAGCCTCACCTGAGCAGCTTGGCTTTGCTCTGAAGCGAATCAAGAACCTCGATTTTCTTGTTCATGGCAGCAATTTCCTGCTCCAGGTTCTCTCGGGTGACGTCAACTTGCTGACAGAGATGAGCAAAGGTCCCAGACAGTTCCCTGAGGGGGTGAGAGGAGGGATCAACCCTCATGTCTGTCCGAGCAGGATGCCAGCAGCCAAATCCACCTAGAGGGAGGCAGTAGCTGGGCCTGTCCACACCCCTGTCAGCAGCTCTGCCCTCCACTAGCCCTGGTCGGCAGGATCCCACCTCCTGCTGGAACTGGGAATAACCCTAACAACCAAACACACTCAGCATCACCAGAGCGTGAGAGGCAGTGGCGCAGAGCAGCGCACCCTGGCTTGGGCACAAGAGACCTGGCTCTGCCGCTCATCAGCAAAGGGGGACACATGACTGTTCTTCACATCTCGGTTTCCTCATTTTGAAAAACGAGATGTCAGTAAAACAACATCTACCTCAAAGGGTAAGAGGAATAAATAAAACATCAGGTGCAAAATGCGTGGCGAAGGGTCTGCCACACGGCAATAAAAAGAGGGAAGCCGGCACTGTCCCTGCTCCCCAGACCGAGCAACAGACCCCGCAGGACCTAAGGTGTGCAGGAGGAGCAGGCTGGGATGGAGAACTGCAAAGCTACATCCACAGCCCACGCCCTTCGAGGCAACTTCTGAAAACACCTACTAGGAATGTCCCACTTCTTCCTCCCCTGGAGGACCAGAGACCTACCTGGTCCCAGCCAAGGATATAAGGTGTCCCTGAGGGACCCCTCTCGCCATCCCTGGCCTCAAAGCTGGCACTGCACACTGAAGGCCCAGGGCCCATGATGTCAGGACCCAGGGGTCTCTAGGGCAGGCTGGAAGGGAGATGGGGCTGCTGACCCCACCCAGAGGGAAGCCCCCGCCTTAGGATGACAGGGCCACTCACTGCTGGACTTGGTGGCTGCAGTTGGAGCCAGTGTAGCTGATGATGAGCTGCAGCTTCTCGCTGGCATACTCGACAAACTGGCGCTTGAAGGCCCTCTCCTTGGCCTTGGTGGTCCAGGTCAGACGCTCGTAGACGTAGAGGAGGCCGTACAGCCCAAAGGACAGGGCGATGAGCCGCCAGCCCACCGCCTTCCACACCTGCAAAGGCACACGGTCGGCCCGGAGCGGAGCCTCTCTGACCCCACCTCCTCCAGTGCTTGTCACTACCAGGACTGTCCCAAGAGCCCCAGACAAGGAGCCTTGGTGTTTCTACTTAGAGCCCCCCGTCAATGTCTCCTTTCATCCCTCTACAACCAGAGGGCAGGGACCACCTCCAGTCGGGAAGGAGCAAAACTTAGGGAGTCAGTACTCCCCACGAGATCACAGTGAAGACTCTCTGAGACACGAGGAAACAGGAGCTCACTGTGAAGTGGTGGGCCAATGCAGGGCCACTGTCAGAGCCCTCAGTCCCCTCCCGCCTGCCCTCCACCCCCACCTTCCCAAGCAGGACTCATCACCATCACTGACCACTCCTCCAACAACGAGAATGCCCATGGAGGTCCTGGATGTCAGGGAGGCCAGGCCAGTAACCATGGAAACCATGAGCTCCTCCTGGGTGAGTGAGCCCTGTGGCAGGGGGGGCATGCTGGGGTTGGCTGGTGTCAGAGGGACAGGACGCTGAACCTGGAGAGAGAAACCATGAGAAGGACGTGGCAAGTACCTCGTTCATGCAAACCCTCAGCAACCCTCAAGGGTAGGGGAGCTGGGACAGAGACACAGGAGTGGTTCTTCCATTTCCAAAAGGCAAAAAGTGGGAAAATGAGCTTGAATGTAGCAGAGAAGGATTGATTTAAGCCCTTTTTTTTTTTTTTTTTTTTTTTAAAGGACAGGGTCTCTGCCAGGCTGGAGTGCAGTGACGCAATCATAGCTCACTGCAGGGATTTAAGCTTCCTAACAGACCTGAGCGCTGGGAGATACCACAGGTGTGAGCAGTGGCCATCCTGGCACACGCAGGCAGTTTCCCAAAGTGTGGCACATGTATGAACAACAGTACATGCAACAGCTGAAGTGGTTGAGAGATGGATGATTTTTAAATCTAAATTTCAAAGTGGTGGTAGATGGGTGGGTATTTTAAAGGTCATCTATTTTTAATAGTTACATACTTACTGTAACATTAGAAAAAAATATAGCTAGCATTTATCATTTCACAAATGTTTTTGCTTAGAACAAGGCCAGGCTGTTCAGTGGCACGAATCCTGCCTGTGGTGTACCACGTGGTGGCACACACTGCCACGGCTGTCAACCTTAGTTTTAGAATGGTTTGTGTGTCTGGGGGCGGGGTGCAGACCGGCTTCCCGAAACGCTACTGTGGTGAGGTACTTCGCTTGCCTGGTCGTTGTAGCCCATCAAGGCCCGACGGCTGTTCTTGGGGCCCAGGAACCTATTCACCAGCATAGTCCATCCGAGTGAAAAATGGAACTCGATGTCCTCCTGAAAGTCGGCACACAGCTTGTCACAGTTCAGGTCGTAGCTGAGGGAGAAGCACTGGCGAGGGACCAGCATGTCTATCTGACTCCGCACGGACACAGGAAGGAGGGGCTTCAAGCCGTCTATCAGGGAAAGAAATGGGAAAACCCGTGTCAGCTCAGCCCTGTGCCACACCAGTGCCCAGCCTTTGGAACAAGGGCCACTAGCTACTGCCAAGGATGCCTGGAGACCACACCCCGGACGAGTGGCTGGTGGGGCTGGGAAAGGCTCGCTCTCCCAGGGTGTGCAGGCTGAGGCTCCACACCTGCTCACACTGGGCCTCATGGGGATTTGAGGAGCAAGTCAAGCTCTCGGCCTATGACAGCCCCCTGTGGTAACACAGGATGGGCTCCCCAGTGCTATGCATAGCATGAATTCACGACACATACCCAGAACCTGCAGGTATTGGGTTGAATCATCATCAAAGGTGACAGATATGGAAAGTCATTACGTCTTTAGCTTGGTCTCTGAATCTGATCTCTGGGCAGCCCCAGAGCCCCAGGCCCCAAGTTCTCCTGTGGCACGAACCTATCATGTCCTGCTGCATGGTCTGCAGGGAGCTGGTGATAGCCGTGGAGCAGCGGTCGGACATGTTTCGGCCCAGTCCTTCCTCTATGTGGCGATGCAGTTCCTGCACCCGGAAGAGGGAGTTAGGAGAAGCAGCATCCCAGCAAGACTTCCTTCAGCCCACACCCACCAGTGGCTTCCACTTCCACAGTGCGGGCCCCGACCCAGACCAGCAGGGGCTGAATCACTGCTGGGGGCCCGCTGCCAAGAACACCTGTGGCTCCACGACTCACATTCTTATAAACCTTGAGGACGACCGGGGAAGGGTGGAAATCCATCTGGTACTCGTCCACCAGCACAGAGAGGCGCCTGATCTCCTCAGCCATCGCAGTTGACACCTCCAGCAAAAGGCAGCACGATGTTAAGTATCAAGGAAGACGTGGTTCAATCACGCAGCACCAAGAGAGATTCTAGCCGCTGGCTAACCCTCCTCTCACACCGCAGTCCCCCAGCTGACCTATGCAACCCCAGCCTGGGAGGTGGAAGGACCTGAGAAATTGGCTGATCAAATGCCCACATGATACATGGAGGACGAGGCCCCAAGGACAGGGGACATGCTGTGGGTCACACAGTGACACACAACAGGACAAGGCGAGGCTCCGTATTCTCAAAGCAGGGCCACAACTTCCTTCTGGAAGGCTGGGAAGCCCCTTAGGCCCCTCAGAAAGCCCGTTTTTTCACTTTCCAGCACTTGGACTCTACTCTGAGTCCAAATCTCCCTGAAGTGCTTCCTCCTTGTTTCTTACCTGCCTTTCCACTTCTTCTGTAATCTGCTTAATTCGAAGCTTATAATCTTGAGCCAAAAGCTCCAGCTGTTTGTCAATAAATCTCAGCCGGTCTTGCCGCTCTTCTCGCATTTCCAGGCAGTAAACCCTGAAAGGAAAGAAAGAGCGCTGGTTAGAAACCCACATTCCCACCCGACTATGCAGAGGAGCAAGAGGAGACTCCAGAAAGCCTGCACAGGCCCCACCCACTGCCCAGCCTCAGCGGTGACCTTTCCCCTCCCAGGTGGGAGGGAGGCACCTCTGCCGCCCAGTCACTCTTCAGCCTTCCCTGTGGACGGAGAGGCAGTGGCGACAGGGCGGCGAGGGTGCTATAAGGGGTTTTAAACAAGTCCTGCCAATTAGTATAGGAAAAAGATGCTCAACCTCACTGGTAATCAGGGAAATGAAATTAAAAAGAGGCATTACTTTCTACCCAGAGGCCTGGCAAAAACGACCCGGCCTGAAGGGACAGTGCTGGTGGCGAGCTGAATGCATACAGCTGTGCTGCAGAGCAAGGGCGTGAGACTGAGCAGAACTGAAAATGCTGTACCCTAAGATAGAACAGCTGCACTTCTAGGAATCAAACCCTAGAAAGGCTCTCACAGAGGTGCACAAGGCACACACCAACAGATGTCTGTTGCAGTGGGGTTTGCAACAGCAAAAAAAATCCAAAAATCAGTCAATAGGAAAATGAGGAGTGGAACAAGCTACAGAGTTAATATTCATAAACTAGAGGCTGGGGAGGGAGGTTCACCCCTGTAATCCTAGCACTTTGGGAGACAAAAGTGGGAGGATCACTTGAGGCCCGGATTTCGAGACCAACCTGGGCAAGAGCAAGACCCCGTCTCTACAAAAACAGAAAAATTAGCCGGGTGTGGTGGTGCATGCCTCTAGTCCCAGCTACTCAGGAGGCTGAGGCAGGAGGATCGCTTGAACCCAGGAGTTCAAGGCTGTGGTGAGCTGTGATGATGCACTCTAGCCCGGGTGACAGAGAAACCCAGTCTCAAAAGCAAACAAACGAACATAAACTAAGTGCACCAATGAGGATAAAAGGGAAAACAACATTGAGTGGAAAGAAAAGCAAGGTGCAGTGACACCCAGTACGATACCACACCTGTATGTTTAAAACGTGTGCAACATTGTATACTCTTTAGGATTTATGTTAAAAAGCACTTTCTAAATAGGTGACAGAACTGTATGAGTTCATGATCATGGCATCTCTGAGGGGAGGGCAAAGTGACACTGGGACAGGGGCTAAAGAATCAAAGGGCACTTAACATTTCTTTGTTTTATTTTCACTTAATATAAAGAAAACACTGTCAGTTCTGTGTGGTAGAATTAAGGTGTTTTCGTATTATTCTCTGTACTTTTCTATATTTTATTTTATTTATTTTTCTGAGACGGAGTCTTGCTCTGTCACCTGGGCTAGAGTGCAGTGGCATCATCATAGCTCACTGCAACCTAAACTCCTGGACTCAAGCAATCCTCCTGCCTCAGCCTCCTCAGCAGCTGGGACTACAGGCACACACCACCACGCCTGGCTAATTTTTCTATTTTTAGCAGAGATGGGGGTCTCGCTCTCCTGACCTCAAGTGATCCTCCTGCCTCAGCCTCCCAGAGTGCTAGGATTACAGGCATAAGCCACCGTGCCCAGCCCTGTATTTTAAATTTCTCCCAAAAATGTCATTTTTATAAACCATGTTCAGGCTCTGAGAATGGCTGCAGTGCTCAGCAGGGGGTACGCTGAGGCCTCTAACACAGGGGACCGCATTGCACAGCCCAGGTAGGGCAATCAGGCACCCAGTAGCCCTCCTCCCCTGGCTGTCCATGTGGCTGTAATACGGTCTGGTGGCCAGGGGGAAGGGCCCTGGATGGGAGCCCAGAGACTGAGTTCTGCCACCAAAGCACATCTGTCCCAGCTGCCAGGCAGGGGTGGGGCCCTCACCTCTCAGCACCCCTCTGTGCCTGTCTGCAGCTCTGGGCTCTTACCGCTGCTCCTGAGCTGCGATGTGCAGAGAGTCCATGATGAAGCGAACTGCCTCTGCAATCTGCTTGGCCCGGACCGTGTGCTGCTCAAATTTGGTCTTCACTGCAGACTGGGAGATGCACTCCTGAAACAGACAGAGGCACCGAGGGAAGTGTGGGCCACCTGGGGCTCACAGCCAAGGGCCAGGCTCTGGCTTTCACTGCCAGGGACACAGCCAGTGAGAGCTGGAGAGGCACAGAACCGCCAGATACCAGAATCAAAGGACTTACCTCAAATCTCCTCTCGAAATTCTGAAACTCAAACATCCTCACTTGAAAGCCTTCTGCAAGAGCGCCCCCTAGGAGGATCACACTGCATTAGTCGGGAAATAACTGGGCAGCAGAGGAAAACGGCAAAATCCCCCCACACCAAACCATTGCTGGAGATCAGAGCCTCTCACTGAAGGCTCCTCTCACCATCTCATCCTCAGAGTGGTTTTCCACGGACAGACTCAGCACGAGACCGCACATCTCAAACATCAGGGAAAAGGAGGACGTCTGTTCCCATCATTACCTCCTTCAGGCATGCCCTGGGCTTTCTGGATCCTGGCGTTGAGCACCTCCTTGGCAGACACAAAGAAGATGCGGTCCCCGGCCTGGGCTCGATCCACCACGCCCAGCTCGTCCACCAGGAAGCTGGTACAACGCTCCATGTGCTGCCGCCGTACCTGTGGCCAAACAGATGTGACCGGGGTGGATGTGGGTGGGCCCCTCCTGACAGAGCCCACAGCTCCCAACTGCCTCTTATATTAAAATAATAGGTGATATATTGATGTAGCTCAATAGTCAAAGATACAAACAGACGCAGTGAAACACCCACGTGCCAGTAGAAAATCCCTTCTAGCTCTGATGTCCTAGGATTCTACTGCTAGAACTTACAACGGCCTCTTGTAGACACTACCACGCATCAGGCACTTTGAACAGATTTCACCCCTTCAACAAGTCCATTTATTACAACCGTCACACTGGGAAGGAAACTGGATTACCAGAAGGGTCAGGGAATTGACCAAAGTCGCACCACCAAGCACCAGCCAGAATTTGGACTCGGCCTGCTGACTGCATGTTTTATCATCCAATATCACCAATCTGCTACCCCGCTCCCCTTTGTGGTAATGTTGACTAGGCCGCTCTCAAATTCCTGGGCTCAAGCAATCCTCCCACCTTCGTCTCCAGAGTAGCCAGGACTACAGGCGCCTGCCACGCACCTGGCTTGTTACCCTTTTTTCATTTCACATATATAAAGAGTTGTGAGTTGTCAGTGAGAACCAATTATTCTTTGCTCCTCTTTCAAGCTTCTTTCCCGATGCCTTCCTGAAGCCGAGCCTGCCGTGTATTAATTCTTTATGAACCAAACAGAGCACTGGCCCCAGAGAGGCACAAATGTGGTAGGGGCGCTTTTCAGACCCAGGGGAAAGCTGCTTGGGAGGGGATCCATCCAGGAAAGTGAATGGTAAAGGGGAAAGGAGTGTTTTTAAGGCCATCAGAAGACACCATAGGAGAATATCCGGGAAATCTTTGGCGATGAAATTAATTCAGGGAAGTCACTAGATCTGGGGTGCATGAAGCAGCCCTGGACAGACAGCACTCGCGCAGGGTGACATCCCCAAACTGCCAAATAGAGGCACTAACCTCCTCCATGTACTCGGGCTCCGAGGCAGACGCGTCCCAGCGGTTGTTCAGGATGAAGATGTTTGGGCGGGAGAGACGCTCGCTCACTTTGTGGAAGAATTGCTTTTCCTAGACAAAGGGTAGGGCCTCAGTGGAGGAGGGGCTCGCCAGCCAAGGCCCACAGGCCGCCTGCCCAGATGGGTGCTAGGAGCATGGGAGAAGGCAGAGGAGTTACCGTCTGCATCAGGGTGGACTCCGAGTTGGCCACCAGCACAAACACGTCAGCGTCCAGGCAAAACTTGTCAATCCAGCTGTCCAGCTCCGTGGTGACATCAATACCAGGGCTAAAGGTGACAGGGGTGAACCAACATCATCAGGCGCACAGCACGAGCCCTACTCTTCCTGCTGAGAACAGATCCAGGATTCCTGAGGCAGCCAGGCAAGGGAGGACAAGGCCAGAGCAGGGAGAAAGCAGGCCTGGCCCTTGCTGGGGGGTCTTTACTTTCCGTTTCATATCCTTCTGGATTCCTGGAAAGGTGCTTTTTAAGCACATACAAGTGTTACTTTTACAAAAACATGATTTGTAATTTTACTTTGGGAATATACGATTAAGGTAAATTTTTATATTTATGGGAGTCCAGGTAAACACTGCAGTGCTATATTTCTTGGTATAGTTACACCTGTCCACAAAGTAGGGGCAAAGTCCTCCTTCGAGAGCGAGGAAATATACCACTGACCCCACCATAGCTCCTGCCCCCAGTACACATGCCAGGGCTGAGGCTGAGAACTTCGTCTCTCTTACAGACCATCCCTGGGGCTCTGCAGGGCACTGATGCCAACAGGTACAGAAACCAGGCCCTAGAGGAAACCCAAGAGGCAGGAGGACTGGGTTGGGCCCACATGAAAGGCTGCAATGCTTACAGAGCAAGGACGGCGCCGAGGGTGTGCTGGCCTGGATTATCCAGAAATGGAAGCCCAGCGCCACCCAGGTAGGACCTCCCAGGAGGGCACCTTCCCCCTTACCTGTCCATCAGCACGAGGTCATCCTTCAGAAGTGGGCACTTGGAGTTGGGCCACATCACACTCACTAGGCTGCCAGCATGCAGCTGCTCGTCCTGGTGGAGGGCATGGGCCAGCTGGTTCACGGTCTGATGGTGGAGGAGGGAAAGGATTAGGCCGAGGAAGAGCCGCTCAGCCAGGAAAGTTCCTGTGCCACGTGGCCACAGCACAGTGGTCTGGGACTGCTGCCAATCTGCTACCCCTTTTCTTTCATTTCACATATAAAAAGTTAAGAGCTAGGAGCTGTCCATAAGGACCAACTTTCTTCACTCCTCTTTGAAGCTTCTTTCCCGGATGTCGTCCTAAGCTGGGTCTGTTCAACACTGATTAATTCTTTACGAGCCAGACTGAGCATCTGGCCCCAAACAAGAATGCAGCTGCCTCTCAGAAAAATCAAAGTGTGCCAGTCCCTGGCCGATGTCAGAATCACAGAGCAAACACAGGAATCCCTCTCTGGCAATATCCCAAGGAAGAACAGGGCACACGCTCTCTTCCTTAGTTAGTGAAGAGAGAGTCAAATGGCCTGCTCAGAGGTACACCAGGAACTGCTAAGTCCGCATTCTTGGTGCTGCACATTGCTGAGCCTCCCAAAAGCTCTCTCACATCCTCAAAAAAGCTTGTCTAGAACAAGGTTTCCCACACTCCACCGCAGGCAGGCCCTGCCCTCTCCTTAGAGGCAGATCAGCCCTGTCACAGTGGACAACTTGCCCTGCCAGGGTGCCCAGGGCTGAGAGCCAGGCCAGCATCCTCACCTTGACGCTCCTCTTCTCCTCTGAGCCCTCGGTGAGGAGGAAGGCCTCATGGCCATCTGTGCCCTCCACGCGCAGGAAGCAATTGGTGGTGTGGCCGATCCCAGAGGGCAAAACTTTGTCCCAGAGCATGGCATTGATCACGGTGCTCTTCCCATTGCTCGTCCTGGAAGGAAATAATGGCGGTCAGTGAAGCCACCAATATCAGCGGTTTTGGCTTTCACAATGTAGTCACCGGCCTGAATGGCCAAAGTCCTGTTCTCTGCAGTGTCACCAGTGCCCAGGCCGTGCTGAGAGAGGCACAGAGTAGGTGCTCTGTGTTTATCATATTAAAATAGGTGGACATCGCTTCCCGGCCTTTTGGCTAAGATCAAGTGTAGTAAAACAGGCAGACAGGCTGGGTGTGGTGGCTCAGGCCTATAATCCTAGCACTCTGGGAGGCTGAGGCAGGAGGATCCCTTGAGCTCAGGAGTTGGAGACCAGCCTGAGCAAGAGTGAGACCCCGTCTCTACTAAAAATAGAAAATATTAGCCAGGTGTGGTGGTGTGTGCCTGTAATCCCAGCCACTTGGGAGGCTGAGGCAGGAGAAGTGCTTGAGCCCAGGAGTTTGAGGTTGCTGCGAGCTAGGCTGACACCATGGCACTCTAGCCCAGGTGACAGAGCAAGACTCTGTCTCAAAAAATAAATAAATAAAATAAAACAGACAGACAAACATCCCTGGGCCCGAGCCTGTGACGTGTCCCCGCTCCATCACTTCAGACCGATGTGCAAGGGGCCCGCACAGTGCGCTGCCTGCACACGCACCCCGCCCCTTGAGTAATCCAGACGCCTCTCAGCACGTCTCTCAGCAGCACTTACAGAGACTGCCTGTCTCCAAAGGATAACCCAGGCCCCAGGAGTGTCTTCCTCAGTCTAAATGGCTTCCGTTACGACCCAGCGTTTTGCACACAGAGCCTGTCTTGCTTCTCTTTTCCCACCTCGTCAGTCCAGCTGGTCACTGCTGGCTGAAGGGAAGACCACCTTAGCGTTCTGACCCATCGCAGCCCTTTTCTCTGCTCTGCAGACACATCTGCTCTGCGCTTCAGAGCTTTCAATCTGTGCTAAACACAGTCCTTCTCCTTCCAAGTTGAAGCTTCCCAGCCACATCCCTCAAGCCAGAACCACAAAGGCCTTACCTGCATCCCGTGAGACACGCAGCCTGCTAGCTCACCTGAGTGAGGGCCACACCCCCCAGGTGAGGATGAAGAAATGACAGCCCAGAGGAACAGAGGGCCACACCTGGGGTTACAGGTCATCAGGGACAGGACTCTGGGCACACAGTGCCTATTCCCCAGGCTACCACTCTGTGCCTAGTATCCAGTCTGTCTCGGTGCCTTTTTTTCCTGTATTGGATTTTGATTTTTTTTAAAGGTATCTACTAGACCTCGAAGTGTAACAAGTAGGAGAGCAAATGGTTAAAACTATAAAACTCTTAGAAGAAAACAGAGGGGAAAAGCTTCATGATAATGGATTTGGCAATTATTTCTTGGATATGACACCAGAAGTATACGCCAAAAAAAATACAAATAGACAAAACTGGACTACATCAAAATAAAAAACTTATGTGCATCAAAGGAGACAATCAACAAAGTGAAAAGACAATCTAGGGAAGGGGAGAAAATACTTAACAAATCATGTATCTGATAAGGGATCAATACACAGAGTATGTTTAAAAACTCCCACAACTCAGCAACAAAAAACCAAACAACCCAATTAAATAACAGACAAAGGATTTGATAGAAATTTCTCCAAAGAAGATATACAAATGGCCAAAAATACATGAAAAGATGCTCTACATCATTAATCATTAACCACAATGAGATATCACCTCATACCCATTAGCGTGGCCAATGTCAAAAAAAATAAGTGTTGGCAAGGATGTGGAGAAATTGGAATCCTTGTGCGTTGCTGGTGGCAACGTAAAATGATGCAGCGGTTATGGAAAACAACACAGTAGTTCGTCAAAAAATTAAAAATAGAAGGGACTTGAAGAGACATCTGTACTCCCATGTTCGTAGCAGCATATTCACTACAGCCAAAAGATGGAGGCAACGCAACCAATTGTCCTTTGAAGGACGAACGCATAAAACAAAATGTGGTATATACACACACAATGGAATACTGCTCGGCCTTCAAAAGCAAGGAAATTCTGACACATGCTACAATATGGATGAACTTTGAGGACAGTATACAAAGTGAAATAAGCCAGTCACAAAAAGACAAATATTGTCGGATCCCACTTACGTGAGGTACCTAGAGTAGTCAAATTCACAGAGACAGAAAGCAGAATGGTGGTTGCCAGGGGCTGGGGGGAGGGGAGGATGAGGAATTACTGTTTAATGGCTATGAGTTTTAATCTTGCAGGATGAAAAAGCTCTGGAGACCAGTTGCACAATAATGTGAGTATCCTTACTACTGAACTATACTTAAAAATGATTAAAACGGTAAATTTTACATTATGTGTATTTTACTGTGATTAAAAAATAAAAAGGAGAGTGATGAGCTCTGAAGCGTGTCCGCTGCTCCCCACCTCGGGCTCTGACTGTGACCCTGCCCAGAGCGCCTCCCTCCCACCGGCCCGGAAGGAAGGTGTGAAGGCTTCAAGGACTCACCGGCCAAAAAAAGCCACCTTCATGTGCCGCCGGGCCAGCACCTCGCTGATGCCCCTCACTTTGGACAGGTAACCTTTGACGTCCAGAACCTGTTCTTCTGTCGTAACGGGGTCCAGTTCTGCATTCCTGTAGGTGTCTGGAGGTGCGGATTGAAAATGGGTCACCATGTGGTCAGAGGAGTTCCGGCTTTTTTCACCGCAATCCTGAGCCTACCTCGGTGGCTCCCTGCTGTGCCAGGCCGAAGTTCCAGATCCCCTAGTGTGGCCTCGGACCAAGACCACCTGGGTTCTCCTGCTGGTTCTTACCACTTCCTCACTGTGAACTCAGGCAAATGACCCTTTCTGGGTCTTAGTCTCCTTACCCGTAAAATGGAGATAGCAATAGTATGTAGTTCACGTGACCATTGTGAGGATCAAATGAATTGAATCTAAGTGCTAAGAGTGGTGGCTGGTAGAAGATGAATACCTGAATGTTGACTGCCATCCTTTATGTGTGTATTTTTCCCTAACAAATACTCACGAAGTTCTCACTACATGGCAGGCACTCGGTTCTAGTCACTTTTCAAGCACAGTCTCTCACCTAATCCTCGTTATTTACACGGCAGAGTTAGTAAATGGCAGGGCCGGGATTTGAACCAGGCAGCCTGGCTCCAGAGTTCGGGCTTTTGATCACTCCACATCCCTTCGTGAGGCCCTTCCTGACCTCGCACCGCTGGCCTCGCCAGCCTAGCCTCTTGCCACCCCCTTGCCTCACACGCCAGCTCACCATATCCCCAAATTTACCAGCTTCCTCACCCCTCCAGCTTGGCTCACTGCTGCCCAAACCCGCTCCCTCACCCTGACACACTGCCGTGGAGCGGTCTGGCTCATGCCCACTTGGCCTTGGGTCCAGCTTAGACAGCACTGCCCCCAGGAAACCTTCCCTGGCCACATCCCCCAACCTGAGTTGGGTCCTCCTTGTCAGTGTGCCCACAGCACCCTGTACACATCCCCCATCTTAGCACTTATCTGCGTCATCTACCCCGTTAGGGCCAAACTGTCTGCTCTCAGCACCCAGCAGGTGCACAAATGTTTGCTAAATAGCAGACACTTTGATCACTGCATTGCCTTTTCCCAGTGCCCTTGACAGGCAGATGGTTAACAAACTATTACCGAGCAAGATCCTGCCCCCATCCCTTCTAGGACTTGCACCAGGTGGGTGCTTCAGCTGGCTGGGGAGCAGCTGGGTGTTTGGTCCCTCAGCACACTCTTGAGAACCATCAGGTTGACAGGCCTCAAGCCTGAGAACACTCCCAAAGCATCCGAAGTATGACAAGTGGCATGTCCAAGCCTGCCTGGTGCCATGAAAGGAAGTGAACGAGCCAACAATCCCCCCACCCCCACCCGCCACCATGTCCACCATCAATCCAGACCTATCAACATTCATCCCTTATATGATCACTTGGGCATGGCCTTTGGAATGCCCCTCAGAGGAAGCTGGCTCCCAAGCAAGTGGCTACATTTAAAAGCAACAGCCAGCAGGCCGACAACTCTTGTTACATGCCCTTTAGAGAACAATCCCCAGGCAGGAAACATCCTCTCCCAAAGCCTGAGCAATCCCAAACACAGCTCAGGATCACTCTAGCTCTTTCTCTTCCATTTAACCAATAGGGAAGGCTTCTTATTTTCATGCAGAGAGAAATCAAAGCACGCATCCCATAAACACCTTCACTGAGCACGTGCCTGTTCACAGCATCATCTGAATAAGTGACTCAGAGCATCACAGAGGGTTAGTCTGGGCTCTGGGAGGGCAGCAGCCTGGTTTGCCCCATCTCTGCATGCCCAGCACCTGGCACAGGGCCAGCACACCACATCTATTGCTGAATAAACAGGTAACAAATTGGGATAATTTCAACCTCTAACCACACAACTTTAAAATTCAGATTTTTTAGCTCACCAAATATTTAGGGAACACCTTCTCTTGCATCAAGTATCATGCAAAGGACAGGGGAATAAAACTGGACATAATCCCTTTCATTAAAGGTAACCTCATGTAGCAGCTTGGCAAATAACACAACTGTTATTTAATGCAGCTATTACAGAAAACAACACAGTGGTTCCTCAAAAAATTAAAAATAGAATTACTATACAATCCAGCAATTCCACTTCTGTGTATACACGCAAAAGAACTGAAGCAGGGACTTGAAGAGATGTCTGTACTCCCGTGTTCACAGCAGCATATTCGCTACAGCCAAAAGGTGGAGACAACCGAGACGCCAAGCTGCTCTAGCCAAAAGCTGAGCAGAGAGAAGGCGGCCCACTTGGGCCAGGGGTCAGCCCCTGGGCACCACTACTGAACTTCTAGGGTTCTGCAGACTAGAATCTGAAAACCCCTGTTCTCACCTGAGTCCCCTTTCACAAATGCGGAAACCAAGGACAGAAAAATTCAGCTACTGGGTCTTTGCAGACAATCTCAGGACCTGGGGCCAAAGTGCCCTTCTAAAGAGGGAGCCCAAGGCAGCCAGTGCCGGAGCTGGCACCCAGACTAGCGGAGCCCTGGAAACCAGCCCTTCTCTGCTGGTAGAGCAGGGACTAGACGTTGGGCTCAAATTAGTTAGTAGAAAAGGCACAGGTGACGTGCGTTTCCTATTCATAGTCCTATTGCCAATCTAAAAATACCAGAGGGCACCCTGGTCGGGGACAAGCAACACTCAGGCAGTGCCCTGTATGAACAGCAGCCACAACTGGGCCAAGGAAAACACATGAACTCTGGAGTTGGAGACACCTGGGTAAAGCCCTGCTCTGTCACTTACAAGGTATCAGACAACTCTCAAACCTTAATCTGCTTGCCTTTCAGATGGGGTAAGATTCGCCTACCCGCCATGATTAAATGAAACAAAATATGTGGACCTCTTAAACGGTAGCTCTTGTCTTCCTGGCCTAATCTCCCTAGACCCCAACTCCACATGATTTCAAGAGCAGAGGCTGCTGGGGACATCTGAGCATGAGTTCCCCCAGAGCAGAGCTGTACTCCTGCCCCCTACCGAATCCCGCTACCTAAATATCTAAACAGTTAAGAGTGGGCCTGGCTGAGCAGGTGCCCATCTCACCTTCAAGGAAGGTGGCGCTCTCCTGGATGTAAGCGCCCAGCTGCTCAAAAATGCCATTGATCTTCTTCTTGGCAGTGACAAAATGTTTAAGTGGGGAAGCATTCACCTCAGCCATGTGTCTCTTATCCTTCTTGACTGTGACAATGGAGTTGCATCGAGAGAAGAGCAGGGACATCGCGCTGCAAGAGAAGCCAGTGTGAGTGAACCTAGGGACACCCTCCTTGGGACGTTCTGCTAGGGGTACAGCAAGAGTGGTGGGGAGAACTGGGACCAGCTCTAGGTTCCACCAAAAATATGGGGCCCTCTAGGACTAGATCAAAGGATGGCAAGAGAAGAATCAGCATCTCAAGAGCAGGGAGGGACCCCTCGGGACACTGGCCAGTCTCCCTGTCACACAGCATGGGCAGTGAGATGCCTGGAGCCAGGGCCCTGAGTTCAGCCCTAGTGCTGCCAGTTCTTTGCCAGACAAGCAGTGACGGGCTCTGCCACCCCCACCTGAGAGAGATAGGGAGGAATCGGGAGGTAACACAGAGCCTCCTCTGAGCTTTAGAAAAGCGCGACAGAAATCTGACTTATTTCCTACACATAACCCCCTGAGAAAAAGCAATGAACAGAAAGCAAAGAGATGCTCAAGGTCAGTGACTCCCACCCTTTTTCCTGGTCACTCTGCTGTCCCAGAGCCCAATGGCCCTAATTCCTAACAGGGTTTGTTTTTTAGGGGGAGTGGGGAGGAAAGGTGATTGTTAAGTAAGAGAGGTCTACTTCTACAGTTTACTTCCCTTTATGTCCACTATAGAAAATTAGGAAACTAAAGGAAATAAATCCATAACCCCACCATTTTAGGATAAGCATTGTTAATATCTTGTCTATTAGCATATTCTATTTTTGTGTGGCTAGCTCTCTTGTTCTCACTTAATTGCACAGGTCTTTGTAGCCTATTTTTTCACACAGCAGTAACATTTCAGAGGCCGTGAGACTTGACTCCAAAGTCCTAGAGGTCTTGAGGCAGTCACACCAGAGAAGGTGGCACCCAGGTGTGGCTGGGAACCCCTGACCCAAAAAGTAGACCCCTGCCAGGTCCCTCCTCAGAGTTCCCACCATGGAGAGAGCTGTTTCCCAAGCAGAGCACTCACATCCTAAGAAGTCAAAGGAAAAGGTCCCTCCAAGGATGAGGGGCAGTGTGCACAGCTGTGCGTGCCGGGTCTGTCACTCCCTCCCCAGCCACCCTAACCACAGGGCCATCAGCTCTCCAGCCAGCAGCACTTGACTCTCTTCAGCTGGGAGAGGAGGTATTGCTCATGAGTGGGCACACATGAGAAGCTTCCAAGTGGGGCCAAAGGGTGTTGAACAAGGTCCTGAGAAGCAGAAAGAATAGCTGGGAAAAGTGCATGATAACTAAATGCCAACACTGGCTCTTAGGAACTACCCATCCCAACCAGTGGGTAGGAAGACAGGCCCAGGGAGATGGGAACCCACATGTGTTGCCCAAATCTACACATTCTGTTGCAATGTGAATGATTCCTGTAAAGATAAGGGAAGGAAGTGACCCTGCTTCTGTTTCTACATCCTCCTCAGCATAATGCCACAACGATGAGAGACGTTTTCTTCGCGTGGAAGCCACATGTCAAGGGTTTAAAATAAGGACAGCAGAGGTCCAAGAAAGCAAATTGGAAAGAAAATGACACTCTGATGCCACCAACACAGGAAAGGAGAGTGCACTGAAATCAGGCTTGCTGTGGTCCAGCGGGTAAGACTCTTAGAGAAATAGGGGATGTGGGCAGGCAGAAGAAGAGGAAAACCACCCAAAAGGAAAAGAAGGGGTTCTGGGATGGGGCATGATGGAGCGCTGCACATGATAGTTGCTGGAATCATGCTCTGCTGGGTTCCAACTGTGACAGTACTATTTCTGGACTGTTTAAACTTAAGCAAGTTATTTAATCTCAAAATGTTGGTTTCTTCATGTGTACAACAAACAAGATACGACATGAGCAGTGAGAAGACTAAAGATGATGATATGAGCAACACGCTTAGCACACAGTAAGAGCTCAAAGGTAGCTTTACATGTTATAGAGCAATAATACTAATAAGCTCTGCCAGCAAGATCACAAGACTCTCCCTATGAACACCCAGCCTTCAGGCAGGGCAGAGGCAACTCTGCCAACACACCCCACTGCTCCCTCACCCGCTGCCACGGAGATCAAATAAACAGGTCTGCTGGGGGAGGACAGTAGTACTCAGCCCCAGAAGTGACTTGCTGGCAGGAAACAAGCTCCTCGATATCAGCTGTGCTTTTAGAAACAAATGCTTTGAAATTCTGGTCATCATTTGCAAGCCCAAAGTCTATGAAACCAAAAGCGTTAGTGTTCAGTAAGTGCAAGATTCAAAGGCATGCACACTAGTAGAATCCTAGTGGTTTTAGGTTACAAAGTCTGCCGGGAGTTCAGCTAATCTCGGAGCTGCCCTGCTCTTACCATCACCCAGCCTGCGGCTGCATGCCCCAAACCCCTCACGTGAAACCTACTGCTAACCCCTCTAAACTCTGCCTGATTTCTCTGGCTCTGCTAATTTGCGAGCTGAGATTACACATTTCTGTTGCATGTGCTGCTTCCTGCCCTGGAATCCTCTTTCCTTTTTCACCCATTTGGCATACTCCTACTGTCCTTCCAGACTCATGTGTTGCCCCCTCCATGAAGCCTTCCCTGACATCTTCACAGAGGATATATAACTTTATCAGGCTTTTGTTTGTTTGTTTGGAGACAGAGTCTTGCTCTATCGCCCCGGGTAGAGTGCAGTGGCATCATCATAGCTCACTGCAACCTCAAACTCCTGGGCTCAAGCGATCCTCCTGCCTCAGCCTCCCGAGTAGCTGAGACTACAGGCGTGCACCACCACACCCAGCTAATTTTTTCTATTTTTAGTAGAGACAAGGTCTCACTCTTGCTCAGACTGGTCTCAAACTCCTGAGCTCAAGCAATCATCCGGTCCCGGCCTCCCAGAGTGCCAGGATTACAGGCAAGAGCCACCACACCCAGCCTCAGGCTTTTGGTTTTTTGTCACACCCTGTGTCCTAGCCTAGGGGTGAGCTTCTAGAGAGCCAGTCTCTGAAACAAAGCAGTGATCTTTTTCATTTCTACCCTCCTTCCCAACAACTGCGAGAGATATGGGAAGTGAAGACCCCCTGGGAGGGGTGTACCATCTTATACCTTCCATCCCTGGATTGACAAATCCACTTTCTTCTTAAAAAGCAGCTTTCTTGCCAGGTGTGCAATCCCAGCACTTTAGGAGGCAGAGGCAGGAGGATTACTTGAGGCCAGGAGATTGAGACCAGACTGGGCAATCTAGTGAGACCCCATTTCTATCCCCCGCCAAAGGCAGCATTAGGTTAAGCATTTAAGTGTCTGTTTCTTAATATCTGGAGCTCAGTCAGTCAAGAGAGTTGAACAAACCTTTTGGATTCTGAAATATAATCCTTCCCAACAGCAAATTGGACATATGTATGCGCACAAAAGGACCAAAGTTGCAAAATACATGCACAAAAGCCATGAAAGGGCACCCATTATCTTGGGGCTCTGACTGCTGGCTCCCTACGCTTCCAAAGTGGTGGGAGGCAGCTGGGTTCCCGTTCCTCCTCTGGCAAGCCTGATAATCCCCACTTCACCACAGGGCTCACCGCAGGCATGTGCAGCCCATCCCCCAAGCATAGCTGGGCCCACGAGTCCAACTCCAATATTAGTTACACACTAAGTAGCACACTTTGAACTTTTGTGACCACCTAAAAACATGGTTTTCAGAGAGTTTATGGAAGCATTTCCCAAAGTGTGGTTCACAGGACTCTAACTGCACCCAAAATTTCAAGTAAAAAAGGCTCCATAGTAGAATCAAGTTGTAAAATATTAATAGTTTATGTTACCATCCCCCTCCAGTGGAGCACATGAGCACAGTAAAAGATTTGGAAGGCCTGTTGTAAAGACACCAGCTTAATTGTATTTAATGCAGCATTTCACAAATTTATTCAATGAAGAAAACCTTCTTCTGTGTAACAGCCGTTAAAATCCCAAAGATCACACTTTAGGGAAAGGCCCATTTATCCTGGTATCTCCCACTCCCATCCCAAAAAAGTGTCAGGGCCACAGTATTAACAGATACTAACAGAAGAATGGAAACAAACCCAATTCTAAATGGAACTGCTATTAGCACTCCAAGGTGATCAGAAGCTTTGCCTCAACCTAGGTTATTAGTTGAGGAGTATTAGGTATCTTGGGTGTAGGGACGGCAGCAGCAAAATTCACTGCAAGATGTGTTTGGATCCCAAGCACAGTCCCTGAATCCACACCACCTCCTTACCCAGTTTTACGTACAGCAACTCCTAGCAGGGAAAATAAAATGGATCCGTGGATCGTCTGCTGGCACAACGGGAACAGAGGAGAAGCTGAGAAATCGAAACAAAAGAGCATACAGGGTAAAGGAGACAGAGTAGACTCTTAGAAGAGCTGTGATAAAGAGACAGCCTCTGCTGAGCAGAAAGGGGGAGAAGAGCTAGCACAGCAGAGAAGACCAAACAAGGGAGATAGAGACTAACTCTTCCGGGAGCCCAGGAGATTCCACTTTCTTTTTTCTTTTTCTATATTTTATTTCTAGCTATAAAAGTGTGCAAAGATTCCAGCCACTTTCTCAACGGTCAACCTTTAAACAGGCTCTCTCAGCAACCAGCAAAATCTTCCATGGAAGTAGAAAGGAGATACAGTAGTTTTTTTCAACATAGGTTGGAAAGCTCTGGCTCTATACAAAGAGGAGAAGTCTCTATCCAAGAGACTTGCCACCAGAGGGCCAGAAGAACACACCCCTTTCCACTCAACCCAGATCCAGGGCACCAGAAGTCACAGCTACCACTTACTTTTTTGGATGATGAGAGATCTTCACAGGGTGGACATCACAGACATGGCTGGAGTCAAAAGGCTGAAAAGATTTTGAGTTCTCTGTCCTGTCTCAGGTTGAGGTTGACTACTGATTGTGCTGACTCCACCAGTCCTGACTTATTGGAAAAGAAAAGGGAGATGGCATCAGGTGGCAAAAAAACACTGGTGTGCAAAACATGTCTAATCAGGTTTCTAAAGCCAAACTCATGCCTCAGGAGGGTTACTCACTGGGCTGGCATGTGAGGAAGTGCCCTGGGGAAAGACAACACAGAAGTGTGGGCCAATCGTGGGTGTGCACAAACACGTGTTCAGCCATGTGCTGGTGCAAGGCACCAGGGAGGTCCCTGCAGGGGCCCTGGTAAAGGTACATCCAGAGAGAGGGAGAGGAGAGGAGGGAGAAGAATCAGGACAAAGGTGACTAGAGATGGGAGGAGTGGGAGTGAGGAAGAGAAGCGGAACTCATTGAAAGCCAATGTGTTCCAGCTGCTGTAAAGTATCTCACTTAATTCTCAATTCTATGGGGGCAAACAGAGCCTTGGGATACTTGGAAGATTTACAGACTGCTAGTCAAGTGGCCAAACTGGGAATGGAAATACCAGCTCCCTTTGACTCCACAGCTCACTCGTTTTTAACTATATGGAGCTGTCCTCCAACCCTCACACCCCCTTGGGATTGGGTAGGGGATAATCAGAGCCCCTTTCTGGAAGAAGGGAGAGAGAGATGATTGAGAATGTGAAGAAATAGGGCAACAGGAGGGACAGCCAGCTTTGCCTTCGCGCATCCAAACGGCTATTTATTCAGCATTTTCTGCGTGCCTTCTGTATGTGTGTGTTAGGCGCCAGGGGTAGGAATCGATATGAAACAGTCCCTGTCCTCAACGGCCTTACAATACGGCGAGAAGTCATACAAGTAAATAGACAGCGAAACGAGAGCACAAAAAGCTCCCGAATCGGGGGAGGGCAGGGCGCTCCCGCGGTGAAGGTGGGCACCTACCATGTGCTGAGTAAATGTTGGCAAAATGAAGAGGACTGATGAAAAATGGAGACAGGCAGGGTGGAATGTGATGGTGAAAGGTGGAAAAGGCTGGTGCGAAGAGAAGCTTCAGGGGCCTCCACCTCCAGTCCCAGGTCCCGCGACCCGCCCCCTCCTCTCAGGGCCGCGGAGGGACCGGCCGCGAGGCGGGAAAGCGGCGACACCTGCCTGGCCGGATCCCGAACCCCCGGGGCCCCAGCGTCCCACCGGCCCACCCCAGGCTGCTCAAGGCTCGCCCGGCTGGACTGGGCCGATCCTCGCCACCCCGGTGCGCTCGCCCTCTCACCTTCACCTTCCCGGCCTCGCGGCGGCCATCACACTCACAACGTCACCAACAAGCGCCACCCCAGGGAGAGAGGCGGGGGATGCGCGCGTCACCACTCGCCGCAGGTTTGCTGGTCCGCCCGGGTGAGCCGGTAGACTCTGAACTGAGCCGGCTCCACCCGACTACCCCTTATGTCTCCGAGGTCCAGGGACGCTGCGCTTTGAGAGGTGCCTCAGCGCGCCACTTCAGCGCCGGGGCGTCGCAAGCCAATGGCGTAGAGCCTCGGATCTCCGGTTGCATCATGGGGGCTGTAGTTCCGGCCGGGGCCCGCCCGGCTAGGAGGGGTGGGGCGGGGCCTCCAGCTGTCAAGGGGTGAAATAACAAGGGCGTGGACTAGAGGTTCCCCTTCTTGCCCTTGTTGCCCCAGAACCTGACCCCACGGCCTCTGCCAGCTCTGGAATCCAGACTTGCATTTTGTAATCTTAGAGAAGCGCTCTCAAGAGAACCAGGCTGTTAGGGTGAAGTGACTCACCCAGGGAGAAGCAAGCTTGGGCCCACTGCCCTTCAGCTGCCTTTGAGGAAATAAGAACAGCAACAACAGCAACGTATCAGACTCCTCCTAAGTGCCAGTCACCGAACTGGGTACCTAACATACATCGTTTTATCTAATCTTCACAACAGTCCTAGGAGGCTGGAGGGGAGGTTGCCCAAGCTCACATGTCAGATCCCTGGGCCCCTCATTGCGTTCCGGGTGCTAGCACGCAGCAGTAAACAGGTCTCCTGAGGGACTCAGTCCCAGCAGGGAAGGCTCCAAGCCCCAGCTCTCCCATATGGTGCGGAGAGGTAGCCATGTGTGGCCACCAGCCACATGTGGCTATTGAACCCATGAGATAGTGCTCATTGCTGTAAGACTTAGTACAAAGAAAGGATGTAAACCATCTCACTAATATTCTTATATTGATTATATGTTGAAGTGATCATATTTTAGATAATTTGAGTTAAATAAAATATATTACTAAAATTAATTACACCTGTTTCTTTTTACTTTTAAAAACGTGGCTGCTAGAAAATTTTAAATTACATTAGTGGCCCACATTTGTGGCTTGATTTCCACTGGACAGCACTGCTCTATAACCATGGCAGAATCCTGCCACAACCTCAAGAGGCAAATCAGTACTCTGGTGACTGACCAGCTTATTCGTCTCCTGTGAGGTTGGTCAGAGGAAGCCGTCCCACCCTCATTGCCCTTGTGTCCTGGGAGTCTGACTGGGGACTGTGGGGCTGCACCCAGATCCTGCCTCAGGGTGTGGATTGGCCTGTCTGGACAGAGCATGCGCAGGGCTGTTACTAGCTGCCTTGTACTATTGCTATTTGATTGTTTCCTTCCCAAGGGGACCATCAATTCTCTGCAGGCAGGAATTATGAATTCCATTTCCTTTCCCTTCTTTGGCAGAATCTTGCCCAAGCCAGGTGGAGGCCTGGATGTTCTCCATACCAAACATCTCTCCTGCCCATTCCCTCTTGTTCACTAAACCTCCCTTCGAGAATTGGCCCTGGCCCTGGTCACTTGTGTGGACTGCTGCAGGGGCCTCATAATCCATTCTCAGGATCCTAGTCTTTCTCTCTCAAACACAATCTCAAATGTGAGGCCCTTGCATCAACCCCCTCAATGACAAGACTCCCTCAGCACTGCCAACAATGTTCCTGGGAAGGGGTTGGTGTGCAATTGCAGGGGACCTTGTTTTTTACATTACCAATTCCTATTTTGATTGACTTTTTCATGGTGGACATGAATTGCATTTGCAATCAGAAAAAGGAAACCCAAGACACACACACACGCACACACACACTTGTGTATGCACAGACTAGCTCAAGGACATCTAAGAAACTGATTAGCCACACTGGTTTCTGGAGGGAGGAACTGGGTGGCCAAATATAAGGGACGAGAGAGAGATTTGTCAGCGGGTCCGAAGGTAGTGAGTTATCTCTCTTGATTGTTCACAGTCAGTTACAGATTAAACTCCTTGCTCTACTCTTTCCCCCTTCTCACTACTGCATTTGACTAGTCTTAAAAAAATTTTTTTTGTGTTGTTTGAATGAGTCCATTGTGAAAATTAAAATCTTTAATTTAAAAACCTGAAAAATCTTTAAAAGGCATACACACAACCTTTGAATGACTCTAAGTCACCCGGTCACCCCCTGGATGAAGTCCAAACTCTCCTTGGCCTGGGAAAATAGGCCTTTAAACAGACTCCCCCCAACCCCCACTCGAGCCAACCTGCATTCTCTGGACCTGGAGTGTCACTCTGCGTGTTGGAAACCTCCGCCCCCTCCAAGGCCCAGCTTAGATGGCACTGGGTATCAGGCTTCCTCAGCCTCAGCACGACTGACATTTTGGTCTCGATAATTCTTTTTTGAGGGGTGGGGGAGGCTGCCCTGTGTACTTCGGGATGCTCAAGAACATCCCCGGCCTCTATCCACTAGATGCCAGTGGCGTTCCCCGTTCCCCCTTCCCCAGCTGCGACAACCAAAAATGCCTTAGGGCATTGCCAACTGTTCCCTGGGGAGCAAAACCGCTCTCATTTGAGGAGCACTGTGTACCAGAAGCTGCTCGTCCCTCCAGCACTTACCCCACCTTGTCCTTGCAGCCACTGTGGCACTTACCAGTCCACGGTTAAATGTTCGGATTTTTCTGTCCCCACTGCTGACTCCAAGTGCTGTGGGGGCAGGGATCAGATTTCTTCGATGGCTGAAATCAGATTCAAATCACTGTCCCTACCACTTGCTTGCTGTGTGACCTTAGACCAATTAGTTGGTCTCTCTGAGCCTCCATTTCCTCAGCTGTAAAAAGGAAATAATAGCCCCTACCCCAGACGGGTGTGTGCTGAGTGCCCAGGATGCACAATGCCCAGCCCACGGCATAGGATGGAGAGATGTTACCTTTTACTATTAATAAATGCCCCGAAGTGTAACAAGTGTTACTGGAAGAGTCTGTCCAGGGTACGGCAGGAACACCAGTTCTTCCATGTTCATGTTTGCAGGAAGGGTGGTCAGCAAAGGCTTCAGAGAGGAGGTGACACACGAAAGACTCAGGTCTCGAAAGACGAAGAAGCATGCCCCAGTAAGGGTTTATGAAATATAAACTAGTGAAATGAAATATAAGCCAGAGAGAGCTTGGCTCCCAGTAAGGGTTTATGAAATATACAAATGACACAGAGATCACGTGGGACTGGGTTTGGGAAACAGAAGTCACTGTGTCTGCTGACATGGCCTTTCTTACGAATTGCAGGCTCTTAAAACCTCTCCCTGCAGACACTCACCCAGACACGTGCACACTCGCCCACCCCAAACATCGAACCCACTCAATGGTTTGAATGACCTTTAATAGAAACTCTCCTATTTCTGACTGTCTGTCTCTCTCCCTGGAAGCATCCGGGACAGGGCGACCCAGTGCACTGTGTGGACATGTCACTCCCCTCCTCCCCAGCAAATGGAGGATTGAGCTGTGGCACAGACGCCTTTTCTGTCTCCCGGGAGGTTTTCTGAGTCACTGTCTCCAGGAGACGACGGTTTGCTCTCATGACAAGAGCCACGACGGAAGGCGCTTCAGCGGTCCCAGGCTCAGGGTGGGAACCTAAGTCTGATGCAGGTCTCTTTCTCCCAAACTTGAAGCGGAAGTCTCTGAGGCTGCAGTTCCGCCTGGGAGAAGCTCTGGAGCGTGACTCCTCGCCCCGGGAGTCTCTCTGGGCAGCTCGAAAGTCCCTGTTCTGCTCAAGTGTCATCCCATAGAAGAGGAGGAAAGAGGACTCAGTTTTTCAGGAACATGGGTGGGGAGGACGAGTCATTACAGAGCAGTGAAAGTGAACAGCATCTCCAGGGCAGGTCCAGAGCACCCCTGAAGGCCCCAGCCCGGAGGTGTGCACAGCCTCCGGCCTGCGCGAATCTCTCTGACTGGCGGCTCCAAGAGCAATGGCAAGTCGAGAGCCTGGAGGCTAGACTGGGTTCCCTGGGACCTCGAGGCCCCAGAGGCTGCTGGGCAGTGGTTGTCGCAAAGAGGAACGGTCGGAGCGGGCCGGGTCTGGCCAACTAGGGATCGACGAAGGAGACGGCGATGTAGCGGGTGCCTTTGGTGGTGGGGAGCCCCTCGTGGTAATGCGTGAGTCTCCCGGGGTGCATGAGCGTCCAGCCCTTCCTCGGGGCTCGGATGGAGCAGTTGTAGCGTAGGAACCGACAGCCCCCGCCCTGGGAGACAGCAAGCGTCAGTTTCCCCACCTCCCCGTCTGTTCTCCTGTCAGAGCCCTGCGGCCCTCAGCACAGCTGGCCTGGGGACGCCTTGTGGAGTGACGGAATGACAGCCATAAGCTGCCTCAGGAAGACACTAAGCAAAGAGTAAGTGAGTAAGAGCTCTGGCCTTGGAGTCAGGCAGCGGCGGGCAAATGTCACCTTCACCTTTCACTAACTTTGTAATCAACCTGAGCCTCAGTTTCCCCTTCTGTAAAATGGGGGTTAAACCGCACAAGGTTGTGAGAATTAAATGAGATGGTACAAGTAAGAGTTGCAGGCTCAGTTTCTCCACCTCACCGCTTTGTTGAGAGGGGCTGCCTGGGTATCCCTGGCCTCTACCCAGTAGATGCCAGTAGCCCCTCATAGTCGTGACAACCAAATATGTCTCCAGGCACTGCCAATGTCCCCTGGGGGGAAAAATTGTTCCTAGATGAGAGAAATCTTGGCATAGGGCAATGCCTGATATGTTATAAGCTTTCAATAACTTATAGCTATTTTTATGGATGTCCTTCTGAGCGCCTAGCCCAGGGCCAAGTCCAAAGAACTCTTAAAATAGTAGCTTAAGGAGTGAATGAATGAATGGCTGGCTCCCTGCCAATCACCCTAGCGGCCTCCCCGACACCCCAGCACTGCTCTCTCGGCCCCTATGTCTTCCTGGTTTCCCCAGACCTTCCCTCCAGCCACAGGCTGGTGCCCCACAGAGGTAAGTTTTCCCATCTAAGATAAAAGGACACAGAGAGAGGCTAAGAAATGTGCCTGAGGCCACAGAGCTGGTGAGGGGGAGGCTGGATCCAGGGGCCTCTTGAAGTGCTTGCTCTAAAGCCCCCTCCCTCCTGCCAGATTGGGCCCTGGACCCGCCCCTGCCAGGAAGCCCTCCCCACAGACCGCGCCCTTTCTCCCTGGGTCTCTGGTGCTTGCTGTCCTCGTCCCCTCTGCCTCAACCACCGTAAAAGCTGCTCGCCAGCCAGCACCTCCTGCCTCCCGCCTGCTGCGGGCTGGCCGGCCCCTGCTCACCTCGTAATCCACCCCGACCCGGTTCAGGGCGATGTTGATGGTGAAGGTGGAGGCGTCGTGGTGCGGCATCAGCGAGGGCTGCTCGTCGGGCTTGTAGCGGACGACGAAGGCCAGGTCAAACTGTGCCTGTACCATGGCAGCGGGACAAGGGAGCCACCATTAGCCAAGGGAGGCCGCCAAAGGCCAGGAGAGGCGGGGGGCGGGGGGAACAGGCGGGGCCCTTGTCTAACGTGCTGGAACATCGCTCCTAGAAAGCAGGTTTGTTTGACGCCGAGTCCTCCAGTGCCTGGAACAGCGCCTGGCCCAGGAAGGGTTCTCAATAAAAATGTACAGACAGAGGGGCAGAGAGGGGAGGCAGGGAAGGGAAGAAAGGAATGAAACACAGGGAAGGGAGGGAGACAGCGATGAACCTAATCCTCAGTCCTTTCTGGCAACTGTCCAGGCTGGACTCCGTGAGGGCAGGATCCAGGCACACCCAGAACAGGCTGTGGAGACCGAATGAGGAAGGGAGAAAGCAGAGGTGGCAGTCGGGGGGCGTGGGCGCCAGACAGCTGACAGGCCGGGGGCCTTTCTCAATGGGCTGCTGCGGGAACCACTGAGGCAGAGTTGAATGACAGGGAAGAAGGATTCAAAGGGAATGAGGTCAGAGGTGAGAGGCAAAGTGGCCTCCGAGGATGCTAGATGCACACCTCCCAGGGGGCCCTGTTACCCAACACACCGCCAGATGGGGGGTAGACCTCACTCCTGCCTGGGGACCAGATACCCAGCCCACCCCCACTTCCCTTGGCCCCTCCAGCCCCTCTGCATCCTGCAGCACCCAGGCACGCCCACCCTGGTGTAGTAGCCGGGGTAGAGCTTCTCCGTCATGGGGGCGATGTACTCCACCAGGAACTTGTGCCACTCCCGCTCAAAGCTGATCTGGTTCATGTGGATGTCGATGGTCGGCACGTTTTCGTAGCCACCCTGGATGCGGTTGTCCTGGAAGTGACCAAGGACAGTGTGGGAGGCAGAATTCTAAGACAGCCCCTGGGTTCCACGCCCTAGGGTCCTGGGGTACAGGCTCCGTCTACTCCCCTCCCTTGGCCTGGGAGCATCATGGGACTAGGCTACATTCTACGGCAAAAGTGAAGGGGTTTTGCAGATATAATTAAGGTCGCTAATCAACAGGGAGAACATTCTGGGGGCCTGACCTATCGAGTGAGTCCTTTAAAGGAGGATCTTGAAGAGAGATTCTGTCTCCTGCTGGCCTTGAAGAAGCAAACTGCAGGGAAATGAACTCTGCCAGCAACCATATAAGTTTGGAATAGAACCCTGAGCCTCAGATGAGACCCCAACCCCAGCTGACACCTTGACTGCGGCCTTGGGAGACCCTCAGCAGGGGACCCAGCTAAGCCGCGGCTGGACTCCTCACCCACAGACAGCAGGCGATAACGCATGGGAGTTGCTTCAAGCCACCACACTTGTGGTCATTTGTGACAGAGCACAGAAAACCAATGCGAGGGCTGCAGGTTAGCTAAGGCCCTGAGGTCCAAGGGCTGGCCCTGTCACTGGAGCACGAGGGTGGCCCAGACCCCAGAACGCCATGGGCTAACCCATGACTGGCTTCTGGAGATTAGTTCAGCTGCCAAAGCACAGAGATTAGGCAGGTAACCAGAACCACAGGTTAGTCCAGTCGGGAGGTCAAAGGTCAGCCCAATCTCAGAGGCCCACGGGTCTGGGTGTGCCTTTAAAATTGGTGCCTGAACTTTCCAGGATGGGTGCACGTGTGGGATTCCTCCTTCAGAGCACACACAGCCTCTCACATCCACCGGGCCACCTCCTTCTGGCGTCCTACGAACTTGGACCTGATATCACTTCCCAATGCCCCCGTCCCACGTTTTCCCCTCCTCCCTATCCCCCCTAGGGAGCTGGAGAAGGAAACTAAGCCATTCTAGCAACAAACCAGGAGCTGAAAACCTAGCAATTTACACCTAAGGCAGCTCAAAGTCACACGCCAGCTTCGGGACCAACACTCCACCTCCAGTTTCTTAATCCCTCTACTCCTAACTGCCTGCGGGCACCCCTGCCAGCACCCCCATGCCAAGAGGCCCAGAGAGGTTAGCTAGGCTGGCCTGCCAGGAGAGGAGTCCAGAGGCAGCCTCCCTGCGGGCCCAGCCCAGGCATAGGGCCCCCACCTTGTTGTTGCCCAGAGACCACTGGCCAAAGTGCTCCATCTCCTCCACCAGCTCGTCACAGGCCACCTCCGTGAAGATGGGGAACCAGTAGACATCTGGGCAAGGCTGGGGAGGGCAGGGACTCAGTTACGGGGGCCCAGAGTGGCAGCTCTGTAGTCTTCCCCTCTGCAGGGCCCCACCCCCAGGTCCATGAGCCCTGAGCGTCCCCGGGAGCCAGGCTCAGTCGACCCTAGACAGAGTGAGTGAGCTCTGAAGGGAGAAGGAGGCACAGCCCAGAGACAGACATTTTCAGTGGAGGTCACATGGCCATCAGGAAAGGCCTGTGCACATGGAGGACATGGGGGGAGGGGGCAGAGGACTCCGAGAGTGGGGGAAGCAGACAGTCCATGAGTGGAGAGAGGCATCCTCTCCTTATTCCAGCCCACGGCCCACGGCCACAGTGGAGATCACATTCGAGATGTTCTCCTCTTTCCAGCCTGGCCAGGAAAGAGGACTGAGGCCCCCCAGACCCCTGCAGGCTCCAGCTGGAAAGTGCCAACAGGGGGTGGGAGGGGCCGTCCCGCTGCCCCCCAGGTCAGCCAGCCTTATTCTTCTGCCCGCTCCCTGGGCAGGCGTGGTTGTTCCCAGGGCGTGCCCAGAGCCCTCACCGTCTCCACCAGCTTCCCCGCCAGGGCCTTGGTGTAGTTCTCATGGATGTACTTCTCCTTCCAGTCCTGTGGGGAGTGGGAAGCGGGCTGGGGTCCTGGGGGCTGCCTGAGCCAGCTGGGGCTCACCACTGGCTCAACTCCATGGGATGCTCTAAGAGGGGGCTCTGTCCTGCAGGCCCTTGGAATATGAGTGAAGGTGTACATGCCCGGGGGGTGGGTATTTGCCTGTGCCCACCGGGTGCGTGTGTTGTCTGAATGCACGGGTATGCACACAGGAGGTGGTGCTTGCACACATATGCACATGCGTGTGTCTGGGTGTACATGTCTGTGTACAGGCATGTGCATGCACTCATATCAGCTGCAAGGTCCTAGGAACACTGTCACAACTGACAATCACAACACCCTCAGGGGTGAGATGGGCTGGGATAGTATACCCACTTCAGAGTTAAGATAAGGGAGGTCCCAAAAATGAAGAAGCTCAACTAAGTCCCAGCCGATGGCATGTATGGGCCACCACCCCAGGCCTCTGACTCTGGGTCCCCCTCCACTAGATGAGGCTGCCTCTCAGGACACCCTCCGCTCCCCACCCAAATCCTCCCCTAGGGTAGAGGGAGGGAGGCTGGGGTCTCTTCTGCTCCCAGCCCCCGCCCACCCACCTTGCCCCGACCTGGGGCCTCACCTCTGGGTTGCTGAACACCTCCCAGAGATCGTTGTGGAGGCGGGTGGTCTGGTAGCTGTCCAGGGACAGCAGGTGTCCGAAGGCATGCCGGTTGGTCAGGAACATGAACACATCCTGGGGAGAAGCAGGCCCGATGGAAGAGGCCCTCCCTCCCCGCTCCCCTGCACGCTGAGATGTGCAGGCTTCTCTACCCGCAGGATCAGGGACGTAGAGCAGGTCACCCTTGCGTCCCCAGCTCCCAGCCCAAGCCCGGCACTGGGGATGCGATCAGAGAAGGCTTCCCAGAGGACTGAGCAGGGAGGGAACAAATGCATAAGAGAAAAGGACTGTGGATTGTGTTATGATCCTGAAGTTTTGGTCACAGGCGAAAACTTCATTATGCTCTCAAGTTAAAAAAAAAAACAAAATACAAAAAAATAGCAGGGGTGCAGAGACAGGGTGAGGCATCTCTTGGGCACATTATATAGAATATGTTAAAGTAGAAAGTTTAGTTTTCTTTGGGCTATGTCAAAAATGTAAATAAAATGGTGTGCAAACCAGGTCTGCTAAAATGGTCCCCACAGATCTGTGAGGACCAGCCCTGTGCCCACTGCCCGCATGCCCCCACCAGGCCCTGGTGGCCTCTGAGCAGTCCTGCTGGAATCTCAGGAGCTCCCAGGCCTGTGGTGACGTTAGCCCACCATGGGGTCAGAGCTAGAGGCCCACCCTCCCTGTCAACAGGGCATCCTGTGACCACCCGGCCCCTGGCTGACCTGCTGCCGGACGTTGGCACAGAAGGCCATGTCAGGGTCCAGCTTGCTGTGGTGGAACAGGTCGGGGGGCTGCAGCTCCGCCCGCAGGGCGCTGCCCTTGATCAAGTAGATGTTCGAGATATAGGGCACATTCCAGACGCCGCTATGAGAGAGAGGAAGGAGGGGGTCATAGGCTGGTGGGAAGGGGTCAGACGCTGGGGGTCGGCGCTGGGAGGAGGGGAAGTCACAGGCTGAGAGGGCACATGGGCCTGAGCTCTTTGTCGGGAAGTCCTTCTGTGTGTCCGACTGCAGTCTTCCTATCTCCAGGTTCAGCAGGAAGTCGAGGGCAGCAAGGACAGGAATACTGGGGAGGGAGGGACTTCGAGCCCGAGCAGAGGACAGATGAAGGTGCCCCCGCCCCTGCAGGTACTCACACTCGCCGCCCCTGCACGATGTCCACGTAGTCCTCGGAGCGGGCGTAGTAGCCATCCGCGCTCAGTGCCCCCCAGAAGTTCGACCACAGCCTCCCGTGGCGGGTCATCAGTGGGGCAATGACATTCCTGAGGAAGGGAGCACCTCAGTGGGGGACCCCCTGCCCACTGGGAGTGGGGGGCAGACCCGGCCAGGGGTGGGGACGGGTGCCCTTCAACCTGCACACTGGGGTCTCCGAGCACCGCCCTGGGGCAGGACGGGGCCTTGGCCTGTGGGAGTGTGGCTCTGTCGGAACCTGCGCCCTCCCGTGGGGTATCCAGGGACAGACGGGGAGGGCGCTACTCTCCAGCAGAACCTGGAGTTGCCAGGCGGGGATCCCACAGCCCCGGGAAATGGGCGAGGCTGAGGAGGAGGAGGAGGAGGAAGGCAAAGGGGGCTCCCACCCTGGGCCCGGCCAAGATCGTGAGTCCCGGGCTGAGGGCCACCCGCGCCTCACTTGTTCTGCTCGATCAGCAGCCGCAGGCTGTCAGGCTCCGTCAGGGCCACGTCGGCGTCCATGCTGAAGTAGTAGGTGCAGCTGAGGTCCTGCCGGCACAGGTCTCTGCAAGGAGGACACAGGGTCAGCAGGGCTGATCGAGGGGCTGCTGTGACCACAGTCAGCTTCACCAGGTACCAGCCACGCGGCCTTAGAGAGGCCAGCCCTGGCGCAGGTTGTGACCAGCAGCCTCAAAGGGCCCTCTCCACTCTGAGACCCAAACCTGGGCCGCTGTGCTCAAGATGAAGGCCAGGGCTTGGCAACTGGCACCAAGTGCCCTGACAACCCTGGCCCCAGGGAGAGCACGGCCCACCAGGCAGGTTCCTGCACCGCCCGAGCACCCGAGCCAGGGGGGTAAGCTGCTGCCGCCTTTCTGAAGGGCGAGTTGGTAACTTGCAGCAAAAGCCTTAACACTGTATGTTGTTTTTGTCTATCTGGTGCAGGCTCTTCACACCATGGTCTGCGGTCCCAGCCCTCCCCCTGCCTGGCTGTGTGTGGCTCACGAGCTAAGAGTGGGTTTCGTTTTTAAATGGTCGGCGGGAAAAACATCAAAAGAAGAACACATAAAAATTATAAGAAAGTCAAATTTCAGTGTGCCTAAGTGAAATTGTGCGGGAACACAGCCACGCTCATTCGTTTACGTACAACCCGTGGCACGGCTGAGTTGTTGCGACAGAGCCCACAAAGCCGATCTGCAAAGATTTACTATCTAGTCCTTTGCAGGAAGTTTGCCAACCTTTGATCTGGGCTGTCTAATTCTCCTACAGTCAAAACAAATACTTGTTTCTTTGTTTTTTGTGTTTTTTTAAATAATAACAGCAACATCAGAGGTTGTTTTTCTATTTGTCAGCCTTCCTCTTTTCCTGATTCGCTTCCTGAACCCAAATGAGGCTGCTCAGCCCTGCCCAGGAGTCCCTGGGTTGGCAGGACAGAGACTGTTTCCCCATTTGACAGATGGGAAATCTGAGGCCCAGAGAGGGGCAGGAACTAGCTGGAGAACACACAGCCTCCTGAACCCCAGTCGCTCAGCCTGCTGCTCCTGACACCACAGCCCCTCTGCCCGCCGCCATCAGTGGAGATAATCGTGGCCCACGACTCACGCGCCCATGTTCCTGGCGTCTGCATTCGCCACCCGCACCTCAGGGCCCACCAGTTTCACGGACTGGTACTCGCTGCCATGCTCTGCCAGGAACTTCTCCACCTGAGCCTTGTGGTGCTGCTCCTGCGGGGGTGGGAGGGAGAGGGTGAGGCACGAGTTCCACCCCAGGCACCACAGCATCTTCTGCTACCGCCAGGCTGTGCCCTGCACCTCTGGTGCTTCCGCGCCATCTGCTCTCCTGTCCCCCATGCCAGGCCCTCTGCCCAGAATGCCCTTCCCCGGCCATCCTGCCGCCACCCCGCCCTGGCCAGGCCAGGCCCCACAGGTCTCCCAAGAGCCTCTGTCATCAGGGCAGACCCCCACCCCGGATCCCACACCCTGAGACGTTGATTCTGCAGGTCTGGGGTGTGCCCCAGGGATCTGCTTTGTTACAAACATGCCAGGTGACCCTTTTGTGCACTTTGAGAGCAAAGTCCACAGCCAGGGCCCCCTGCATGGGGAAGTGGAAAGAGCAGGGTCTTCAGAACCAAGCCCAGCGTCTAGAGCAACCCCGGCTCTGCTACAATGTGCCACGCGACCTTGCACGAGCCACTTCGCCCGTCTCCGCTCTAGCTTCCTCCCTTGCAGATGGAAGGACAGCATGCCTCCCTCAGCGGCCACTGTAAGCAGTCGGCGAGTCAGACACAGCACACAGTAGGTCCTCAAAGACCACCTGTGACAGTTCCCTCTTTCTACAGAAAGTCACAGTTCATGAGTTTGCTGCTTGATGTCTCCAAGGAAGCCGGGAGCCTCTTGAGGGCAGGGCCTACGTCCCTTCTTCTGCTGCCAGGTGGCGCATTGCACAGTTGAAACGAACATCTGTGACACAGGCAGATAGCTGGGCCCGGCGTGGGACCACAGGGTGGACATGGGGTGCAGGGTGGCAGGGCTGAGAGGTCTCAGAAAGGAGTAGGCCACAGATAGGGCAGCCCAGAGGACTTTCAAAGGAAGACAAAGAGCCTCGAAGAACAGGTGGGATTTAGAGAGGGCACGTGGCACCCCAGGTAGGGAGACTGGTACACTCGGAAGCTGGGAGGTGGGACTTCCTCTGGCTAGAAAGGCAGGGTGCTGGGAATGCCCAGGCCTGCTCCCCCAAATAGGAAGTTTCGGGACCCTCTCTGATTCTCCAGAAGGTACCCAAGGAATAAAAACCAACCTGACAGTCACCAGAGCAAATCAGGAAGGATTGATGGGGACAGGGATGGAAATGAAGATGACAGCAGCGAGAAGCACCTCTGTGCTTGCTGCATGCCGGGCACCTTTCTACACATTCGCACGTCAACCTGCTTAACCCTCGCAGCAATTGTGGGGGTGGCACCATTACCATCCCTGTTTTATAGATGAGAACACTGCAGCACAGAGAGGTTGAGTAACATGCCCAAGGTCACACAGCCAATAAAATCAGTGGTGTCAGGATTCAAACCCAGCTGGTCTGACTCCAGGGTCAACCCAGTGATCTGTGCACACAGCCCACCACCCACTTCCATGTGGCTCACACGAGCCGGTTCAGTCAGATCCCCAGAGGTCTCAGGCTACCTCGTGGGGCTGGGCCTTTGACTCAAGCGACACAACGACCCTGCAGAGCACCTGCTACTCACGTGGTTGTGAATGAAAAGCCTCATCCGTTTCCGGGGATAGCGGAGGCGCAGGAGCCGCTGGAAGAACAGGGACAGGAACGGTGTGGGCTGCTCGATGAACACGCCGACCAGGACTGTGGGCAGAGCATCATCCTGCACAGGGGAGGGGGCGCAAGAGTCCAGCAGTGTCCAGCCACTGCGCTGCCGCTGAGCCCCTCGGGTGGCACGAGGGAGCCAGAGCCAGAAGCAGGAGCACGCGGATGTGGCGGGAAAGGTGCCTGGCCTGGCGCTCCAGGCAAGGCTGGCGGGGAGGCAGGAGGAGGGTGCCCCAGGGAGGGGGCAGCAGGAGCCCAGGCTCAGAGCGAGGACCCAGTTGAGGGCGTGCTGGCAGGAGATCTCAGCAGGCGTGGTGTTCAAGGTGGGCCGCAAATGAGGAGGAAGGTTCATGGGAGGGGGAGGGGCTGCAGGAGAGACTGGAGGACCAGGCAGAAGACCCCAGACTTAGGCATCTGGGGGAGGGGCGGAGCTGGAGACATGTGCAGTCTGAGAGTGCTTCCAAGAGGAGGCACTTGGGTGGCGAGGGGATGGAACCCCAGACAGGGCAGTGACCCCTTTGCTTCCCACCAAAGACTATTCCAGAATCACCCATCCTCCTCCCATCTCAGGGGACGAAGCCCCCAATGTCTCTCAGGCTCAGGCCTGGCCACAGCCTCACCCCGATGGCCTTGAGGCTGCGCAGGCCCTCGTCACACACGGCACAGCCCGTCTCGAAGGTCCAGAAGCGCGGAATGTAGTTGCCCAGGTAGTTCAGCTGCAGCTGTCGGGGAGGCGTGGGGTCAGAGAGGAGCCGGGTCAGTCCCACCACCGTGGGCCCGTCCCCCTGGGCTCCTGGGGGACCCCACAACTCAGCCCTCTCCTACCCCCAAAGAGGGTCTTGGAGAGAATTTTCCAGCCCCCAGGAGATCACTTCCGCTGCTCTGGGGGGCAGATGGAAGAACAGTGTACTAGGGCTTCCGCATCTTCAGGTTTCCTAGGGGCTCATAACATGCAGATTCCTGACCCCTCCCCCGCCAGGGGTTCCAACTGAGCAGATCCTGGTGGAGCCAGGAAATGTGCATTTCTAATGCGCCCTCCTTCCTCTCCCTGCCCTCCTTCCTCCCCCTGCCCTCGTTCCTCTCCCCGTCCACGTGGTTCTGAGACAGGTGGTCGAGGACCACTCTCAAATAAGCTGTGCACCCTGGGCCAGTACCCCAGGGGCCAGACGGGTCTGCCCCGTCCCTGGCCGTGGTCTGCTCCCCAGCCCCTTCTGTAGCACCGTGAACGCAGACATCTGTCCTGTTCATGACTGACTATGCCTCATTCCCTGGTGCAAACATTCAATAAATGTCTCTTGAGTGAATAAATGGTTCTGCCCTGGGGTGACAGAGTATGATGGCTGTAGCAGCCCAGCCTAGGCCTGGATGGAGACAGTGGCCTCCTGTGTGTCCTGTGGCCCAGAAGGAATAGACAGGGCACCCTGACCACCACAGTAGGGAAAGAGCTTGAGCTCAGAGGTGAGGGCAGAGGCGTTGAGCCCACAGCGGGGCCCAGGTAGGTGGCCCTGGCTCCAGGGAGAAACTGTGGGGCCACAGAGAGAGCAGAATTGGGGCTCTGGCCTCCCCCCATGCTCCACAGGGGCTGGGGCCCCTCCCTACCTTGGTGGGCCCGTTGCCATGGATCAGGACTGGGAGGGTGTCGTAGGCCAGGTTCCGCGCCCTCACGTGGCCCATTTCAAACTTGAGCACAACCTCATCTGGGGGTGGGAAAGCACAGACCCGTCAGCGTCAGGTCCGAAGGCCAAGCTCAGGCTGACCAGCTGGGGTCAGATCTCAGCCCTGCAGTGAGCAGGCCATGGCCTCGGGCAAGTCACTCCACCTCTCTGAGCCTCAGTTTCCCCATCTATAAAATGGAGCTAATCCCTTCTCCCTGGGGTGAGTGGGAGAATTCGTGTCCAGCAATTCACCGCCCGGGCCATGGTAAGCACAGAGTCCACGGCAACCCTGTGCTTATGCTGATTTCTTATGGGAGCCAGAAGCAGGGGGTGGGAGAACAAAAAAGACCTGGAACATTCCAGCTCCAGACAGCCCAGGGACAGGAGTCTGGGAGGCACCTTCTTGGAGGCAGGCAGAGCAGCACTGGGAACACGCCAGTCACACTGGCATGGCTGGGCAGACAGGGCGGTTACTGTCCGGGTGGAGGTGTCCCTGCAGCAGAGTCCCCAAAGCCATGTTGTGACCCTACTAGTCTGCACACGAGAAAACGGGTAGGAAGCTGCTGACAGGACAAAACGCACAGGGGCCTTTTCTTCTGAGGCCTGAGAAAATGCTGGGGAGAAACCCTTTGTGGGGGTGATCACGTGAGGGGAGCCTCTCTGTGCAAGCTCCTGGCCCACCTGGGGTCTTTTTTTGGTGGAGGAAGGAGTCTCGCTCTGCTGCCTGGGCTGGAGTGCAGTGGTGTCAGCCTAGCTCACTGCAACCTCACACTCCTGGCCTCAAGCGATCCTCCTGCCTCAGCCTCCCAAGTAGCTGGGAATACAGGCATGAGCCACCACACCCGGCTAATTTTTTATTTCTATTTTTAGTTGACTTGCTAATTTTTTCTATTTTTAGTAGAGACGGGGTCTCGCTCTTGCTCAGGCTGGTCTCAACTCCTGAGCTCGAGCGATCCACCCGCCTTGGCCTCCCAGACTGCTAGGATTACAGGCGTGAGCCACCACGCCCGGCCCAGAGCCATAGTTTTCATAGGATTCTCAAAGGGGTCCATTTACTCCCCAAAATCACCAATCGGCGATCTAGTGCACTTCTCTGTTTCAATGTTTTTTGTTTTGTTTTTTTTTTTTTTGAGACAGAGTCTCACTTTGTTGCCCGGGCTAGAGTGAGTGCCGTGGCGTCAGCCTAGCTCACAGCAACCTCAAAACTCCTGGGCTCAAGCAATCCTTCTGCCTCAGCCTCCAGAGGAGCTGGGACTACAGGCATGCGCCACCATGCCCAGCCAATTTTTTCTATATCTATTTTTAGTTGTCCAGATCATTTCTTTCTATTTTTTAGTAGAGACGGGGTCTTGCTCTTGCTCAGGCTGGTCTCGAACTCCTGACCTTGGGCGATCCACCCGCCTCGGCCTCCCTGAGTGCTAGGATTACAGGCGTGAGCCACCGCGCCGGCCCACTTCTCTGTTTTAAAGATAAGAAAACTGAGGCTGCCCCACGGCAGGGGAGGGACACAGGAGTGACTTGCTTGAGGTCCCTCAGCAAGACCTGTGGCAAAGCAACGTCATCACCAGCCACGGACTTGAGCCCAAGGGTGCTTGTGGCTTTAAGGGCCAAGTGACCTTCCTGCCTCCCGAGTTGTCAGCTCCCTGCCAGCTCAGTCCCCGGCCCCAGCCCAGGTGTCCTTCATCTGGAAGAGGGAGGGCCAGGGAAGGAGGAGAAAGCGCCCACCTGTGCGGACCTGGTGCGCAGGGCAGGGCAGGGGTTGGTACTTGCCGTGTGCACCACCCAGCTCCTCCCGGGCTGAACTGCTCCCCATCTCCCCACCCCCTGGAGAGACACAGCTCTGCCCCAGGACATCCAGGTCTCTGGGGACCGGAGGATGAGGACAGTGACCTCCCAGCACAATGGCTAAGAGAGGAACCTGCCCAGTTCTCCTGCTTGGGCTCGGGCCCTGCCTGGAATGCTCACCTCCTTCCTGCCACCCCTCTCAGAAGCCACCCCCTTCTGTCAGCCTTCCACCTCTCCCTGTGGGGGCTGCTCACCCAAGGCTCCATCCAGGTTCTGGAAGATACGGCAGCGGTGGTCCAGGGTGATGTTGACCTGCTCCTGCGGGAGAGAGAGCACCAGGCTGCAACAAGGACAGACCCTGGCAGAGGACGGGGCTCCATCACACCCAGTGTGGGGACCCGGTCACCCCACCTCTGCCCCCTCTCCTCACGCCGCACTGCCTTGTCATAACAGGACATCTCAGCTGGGAGCCCCAAGAAGGCCAGCCAGGGGCCAAGGCCCTGGGATCTGCCAGTCTGGTGGTTCTATCCACAGAGAAGCAGGGAATCGCAGAACTAGAAGGAATCCAAGGAAGCGACTAGTTCGACTACAACCACCACCACCATGACAGGAACAAACACTTGTGCAGCGCTTTTCTACCTGCTCCTTGCTATTCTAAGTATTCCGTTAATATATATATTAATATTCATCAACTTAATCTTCACGACATCCCCGTGAGAAAGTACTATCACTATTTTATTGCATTTTATAAGTGGAAAAAATACAAGGCACAGAGAAGTTAAGGAACTTGCCCAATGTGACACAGCTAATAAGTGACTCAGCTGGGATTGGAACCCAGGCAGCCTGACCCCAAAGTCCTTATTCTTAACAACTGGACAATGCTGTGTCTTTAAGACTCAACTGTGTCTCCTGGAGCCCTAGGCAGGGCGAGTGGTACTCTAGGGTTAGTCCCATCCCATACAGCGCAGCTCTGCTTTTATGTTTAGATCCTGGGCTTCTGTGAATGACATCACGGGAGGCAGAGGGGAGGGAGGAAGGACTGAGTTAACAAAAAGAGTAAGTTCATAGTTTCTACCGCACAAGCCTGGCTGCTTCATTATATGGATGATAAAAACCTGAGGCCCATGGCCGGGCGCGGTGGCTCACGCCTGTAATCCTAGCACTCTGGGAGGCCAAGGCGGGCGGATTGTTTGAGCTCAGGAGTTCGAGACCAGCCTGAGCAAGAGCGAGACCCCCCCCCCCGCCGTCTCTACTAAAAATAGAAAGAAATTAGCTGGACAACTAAAAATATATATCTAAAATTAGCCGGGCATAGTGGCACATGCCTGTAGTCCCAGCTACTCAGGAGGCTGAGGCAGGAGGATCGCTTGAGCCCAGGAGTTTGAGGTTGCTGTGAGCTAGGACGATGCCACGGCACTCTAGCCCGGGCAACAGAGTAAGACTCGGTCTCAAAAAAAAAAAAAAAAACCTGAGGCCCAGAGAGGGGAAGTAACTTACCTAAGGTCACACAGCACAGCATGGAGGGTGGGGAGTGGGCAAGGCAGAATCCAGGAATCCTGACCCCCAAGGGTTCCCTGAGTCTCCTGCCTGCCCAGGGGACACGGGCCGGTCTGGGGCTGCACTGGTTCTGCTACCTCCACTTCCCTGGATGACCCCCGCCTTGAGACAGGCTCAGCTGCCTGGCTTCTGGGGCCCTGGTCCAGCCAAACTCCCATCAGCCCCCAGGCAGGATGAGGGAGGGACGTCTCAGCCACTGCCTGACGTAAGGTCGTAAATCCCTCCTTTCCCCGACTAGAATGAGGTCCGAGAAGGCCGAGGCCCTGACTGGCTTGTTCACTGCCAAGTCCCCCCACACCAGACACGGTATACAGCAGGCCCTAAGCTAACACCTGCTGGATAATGGGCGTGTCAGCGAGTGATGGAGAAACGGCAGTACTGGTGACGGGCTGCCACAGATTGTTTATGGGGCGTGCGGCCTTGGGGGTGATTAGGCCGTGAGGATGGAGGCTTCATGAGTGGGACCGGTGTCCTCGTAAAAGAGGCCCCAGAGAGCTGCGCAGCCCCTTCCGCCATCTGAGGACAGCGAGAAATCGGCCACCTCTGAACCAGGAAGAGGGCTCTGCCCAGAACCCGACCGTGTTGGCCCCTGATCTCGGACTTCCGGCCTCCAGAACTGTGAGCAGTGATGACTGTGGTTTACAGGCTACTCAGCCTACGGTAGCTGGTTAGAGCAGCCCAAATGGACAAAGACACCAACCCAGGGTTCAGGCCCCAGAGGGACTGTCCCCTGCAGCCTGGCCGGTGCGATCCGCAGTCAGGGTTCCCCACCCTCTCCTTGGCCCGCCCACTGCCTCTTACCCTCTTCTCTGGGTCCAAGAAGATCTTGGTGTAAAAGAGCTGGTCGCTGTCACTGTCCTGGCCCTCCCACTCGGCCACCAGTTTGCTGAGGTTGGGGGCGTAACCAATGAAGCCTGGGGGTTGGCGGGCAGGGACACCAAGACAGACACTTAGCTTCCGCCTCTAAACCAGGGCCCTCCTCCCACCCTCCCCTCTCATCCACCTCCCATTCCTTTACCCACAAATCCAGCTCCTCCTAAAAGTCCTCCCGGATTGATGGGAAGTGGCTCTGCAGCCTGGAAACAGGCCTGCTAGTTAATGCCGTGCACTGACACAGTCCCGCTGGCCCCAGAGAGAAAGACCAATGGCAGCCACTGAACTGCTCTGCTCAGTGCCGGGCACCACATAGGTGGTGAAGAAATGGATTGGATCAGGAGCCCCCGGAGAGCAGAGCTGGTGGGGTACAGGCTTGGAGCCCCTTTTGACACTTATCTGGGGAGCTTGGCCCAAACAAGGGCAGAGGTCACACAGTGCTTTGGGGGCTGAGCTGCCACAGTGGGGAAAGCCCGCGCGGGCTCCCCGGCTAGAACGCAGACTGGTGAGAGGCGAAGAGAAGAGAAATAGGACACTCCTACCCCAGGGCCAGCGCCAGTGCCAGGCCGCCTGGGCCGTGCTAACTCCCTGGGCCAATGGAGAAAAGTGGCTGCCGGGGGCAGATCCCCATCTGAGGCTGGACAGAGGCTCGTGGATTTCATTCTCCACGCAGTGGGAAGCCATCAAGTGATGTGTGGGGACTTGCATGTGTTAAAGACCCCTCTGGCTGCTAGGCGGACGATGGCCTGGAAGGGCACGAGGAGAGGTTGGCAGACAAGTCAGGAGACCGCCGCAGGTGGCCAGGAGTCCAGTGAGGACGGTGCCAGTGAATTGTGGACGCAAGAGGGCAGACTCAAGAGATCTTTTAGAAGCAGAAGGGGCCGGGCATGGTGGCTCACTCCTGTATTCCTAGCACTTTGGGAGGATCGCTTGAGGCCCGGAGTTCAAGACCAGCCAGGGCAACATAGTGAGACCCTTTATCTACAAAAATAGAAAAAATTAGCTGGGCATGGTGATGTGCACCCGTAATCCCAGCACTTGGGGAGGCTGAGGTGGGAGAATCACTTGAGCCCAGGAGTGCAAGGCTACGCTGAGCTGTGATGGTGCCGCTGCACTCCAGCCTGGGGGACAGAGCGAGACTCTGTCTCAAAACAAGAGAAAAAAAGAAGCAGTAGGGATGTGACTCGAGATGGACAGGAGGTGGGGGAGGGCGAGGGAGGAAGGGGCTCCTAGCTTCTGCCCGAGCAGTGGGAGGCTGTCTCATGGCATGAGGAAGACAGTGGGAGGAGCAGGTTTGGGGTTGAAAACTCAGGTTCTGCACTGGAGACCTGTGAGACCTGTGAGACTCCCACGTGACCTGTCAAGCAAGGGGATCCTCATGCGGGCAGCGGACGGACCCCTCTGCTGGGCCGCGCACTCTGCACCCAGGCCGCTCACCTCCAGAGCCCAGGAACCTCTTGCCATCGGAGACCGCCGGATACTTGACCTCCAGCCTGCGGTCTGGGTAGATGAGCTCCTCGGCCGAGAAGATCACCTGGCTCCTGGCCTGCCGGAACTTCTTCAGGAGCTCCCGAGGCCCCGATGCAAACAGCACGTCATAGCTGTGGCCAGAGCAGGGAGCAGACGGGGCAGGGCAGAGGTGAGCGGGGTCCCAGAGAGGGCACAGGCAGCAGGGATCAGGGGTCAAGCTCTCCTCAAATCCCGCTCCTCCCATGCCAGCCCTGGGCTCCCACCTGGGAAATGGGTCCACCCCACGGTCTGCAGCCCTGCCATGTGTCCAGTCCCACCCTGGGCAGAGATGGTCCCCATAACCGACATTCTTCTCACACTCAGAGCATGGTTTGTCACACCTGGCAGGCCACCCGCTCCCACATTTTCACCAGGACTGAGAATAGGCTACAACAGAGGGTCTTATCCTAAGGTTCACGGACCCCTAAAACTGCAGGCAACCTTAGCTAGAGTAATGCCCCCCGATGTTCTGGGAGGGCTTTACTTTAGACCATTCCTCTATCTCTCTGTCGCGGGGCCTAGGCCAGGAAGCCCCGGCCCACCTACCTGTCTGTGAAGAGAATGACCAGGTCCTCCTGGTCTGCAAGCTTCTCCAGAGCTTTCTTCAGCAGCCGGACCTTCTGCCCTCCACCTGCCGACACCCCCTTCTCCACATGCCAGTCCTCCCCCAGGCCGAGCGCCTGGAGAGAAAGGCCCCTTAACACTGGTGTTTGGCAAAACAATATTTTTTCCAGCCAAATTTTTACCCCTGGCTGGGTAGTGAACATCTTGCTTCTGTTTGTCCAGCACCTCTGACCCTCCCCCGTAGGGAAACCATTCCACACAAGTGTGAGGCTGACCTGGCTCCTGGTGGTCATGTGACCATGTCTGGCCAATCAGAGTGTCCCATTCCTCCTGCCCCTCCCACAGCCAGAGGTTTGAGCACATGACCCAACCATGGCCTATCAGAACCTTCCCTGAGACTATTCTGTTAAAATTAAGGAAAGGCTGTCTTGTTCTGCTGAAGTTGAGAAACTGGGGCATGTGAGTCTGTGGTCAGTAGTCATCTTGCCACTCTGTCTAGGGAGCATGTCTGCAAATGAAAACAAACAGGGCCTAGAGATGGAAAGACAAGGCCCTCACTTTGCTGCTTGAACGCCTAGATCCTCCTATGCCTGAAGCAACCCTCTGCTTCACTCCTCATTCATGTGAGCTATTATGCTTCCTGGCTTAATGCCATTAGATTGCAAGCTCTGTGTTGACAATGACATGATCTGTCTTGTCCATCACTCTACCCCCAGTGCCCAACACTGTGCCTGACACAGGGAAGCACTCAGAATACTCAGCCCACAGGCAGCAGGCAGAGCACACCAAACCCATGCCTGCGGTGGCTGGGCGCTAGTGCATGTTTCTCTAGAACAGTGTTCATAATACTGTCTCCAGACCACATCCATGCCAAAATCACCCCGGGGGAATCTGTGGGAATGCTGATGCCCAGGCCCTGCCCTCTAGCCTAGCCTCTCAGGCGAGTCTTCTGCACGCTAACGTCTGAGCACCACTCTGTTCCTCCCTAGTGTCTCCTGTCCCTCCCGCTCACCTCCTAGACTCTGTTCATGCCGTGGCCTCTGCCACCTCTTCCTTTTCCTGGCTGACTCATTTTCATCCTTCCGGCTTTTGGAAGCCTCCCCTGCGGCCCCAAGTCTGTCTCAGGGGCTTTGGCGGTTTGGGAAGGAGGAGCAGCCCCGGATTCTCCTGGCACCCTCGCTGCTCTGCCTGGCCCAGGAAGCCGCTTACCTGGATCTTGTAGTTGAAGAACTGGGCTGAGCGCTTGAAGCGGCGGAAGCCCTCAGTCTCCTTAGTGGCCACCGTGAGGACTAAGAGGTTGTCTACAAGCAGAGGAGGGGTGGGGAATAGGAATGGAGGATGAGGGGAGGTGAAAGGGAAGAGGTCACTGTTTCCAGTGGCCTGTCAAAGCCTAGCAGCGCGTGTCTTCATGTCGACCCATTGCAGACAAGGGCCCAGGTGGAATGGGACGCACTTGAGCTCACTCAGGTGGTTAACAACAGAGCAGGGACATAAACTGAGTCTCCCAATCCCCCTCCAGGGCTTCTTCTACCTGGTAACTGACCAATGTGTCAAGAAGCATGTCCTGTGGGCAGGAAAGGTGTCTGCACCCTGCATTGTGGGTCTGAGTCTCTGGCTTTAGAGAGCTCACGCCTGGCATGGGGACAGAGGGAAGGATCTGTTCTGAATGCCGACCACCAGGACGATCTCTCTAATGCTGGACATTAGCCCAGGGACGGCAAAGACAAGGCTCGGAGGTCCCCACTCTCCACGCCTGCGCCTAGGGCAGACATTGCTAATTCATCCCACAGTCTTTTTTGCTGGCCCTGGAGTCTCCTGACACCATGCCTCAGGCTGATACGACCAATGAGAGTTGGCCCAGGGTGAAAACTGACCTGAAATCCCACCATCAGTCCACTCTGACCTTTGGCCAGAGCAGCTGTTACTAGCTTCTTCACAAGGGACCTCTCCCAGGCTCTGAAGTGTGGTTTCACCTCTGCAATAGAACCTGCAGGAAACAACTCCCCAGACAGCATCTCAGGAGCCCTGGGGGAGCCCTCCCAGAGCACACTTTGAGGCCGTGTTCCCCAAGAACTGAGCAGTCTGGAGCTGGCCTGCCTGGTTAGAATCCCAGCTCTGCTCCTCACCAGCTGTGTGACCCTGGGCAAGTCCCTGTCCTCTCTGAGACTTGGTTTCCTCTTATAAAGTAGGGCTAGTAACAGTCCAGGGCTGCTGGACTAACTGAATGAGATCAGGCATGTAAAATCCTTACTGGGATGCTTGGCAAATGCTAAGAGTGATCACTGGTGCTGATTAGTGAGAGGCGAATGTCGTGCCCTGGCATTCAAGGCCCTCTCTGATCTACCTGGTGATATACTCATCCTCTCCGCCACGTGGGCCCTCCTCCAGCTGCGGTCTCACCTTGCTGGGCTCCTCCCTCCTGCCATGGCTCCCTCTGTGTCCCCTTGGTCTAACCTTCCTCCAGATCCCAGAGGCAGCGACAATGACACCCCTTCCACTTCCACGAAGCCTTCTCACGTTTCTCCTGCCGTCCCTGGTCTCCAAGACTGAGGCGGGACCCACTTTGCCTCACTCATCATCGTTTCCCTGTGTGAGTCTTAATTTCCTAAGGGTCCAGGGACAGATCCAACCAGTGGCCAGGCCAAGGGCAGGCAGGTAAGGCCCTCCCTCCCTCCACCCCGGGAGTCAGGAGGAGCCTGGGCTAAAAGAACAAAGGGCTCCAGCTTGCCAGAGCTGGCCCCAGAGCAGGGGGCTGGCACCAGGCAGCCCAGCAGGCATCGCCAGGAATCAGCCGGCGGGGGTGGGGCCCGGGGGCCTGGGGCAGAAGGGGTGCATTCACCAGGCAGGTATGAAGAGGAGAGACCTCACCTCCTGACACTGGGCTCCAGAAAAGTGGGGTGCTGTTCGCACTTGGGGAAGGGCTCCCCCTAGCTCCTGCCAGAATGGTTAAGTCTCCCCCTTAGGTGAGGAGAGCCGGAGCCACCAGCTCTGAGGCCCTCTTGCCAATAGGGGGCTGCTGGGGACAGGAAGAGTGTCACATTTCATGGATGGAAAAAGCCAGTGTGTGTGTGTGTGTGTGTGTGTGTGTGTGTGTGTGTGTGTGTTTGTGTGTGTGTGTGTGTGTGTGTGTGTGATTCAAGATTCTCGCTGGGAACAGGCTCCTGAAGTTCAGCGACATGGCAGGGGGAAGGAGAACAAAGGCGGAAAGGGACCGGGGCAGCGGCAGCGTTCCTTTCTTGAGTTCCTCCTCCCAAACAACAGTAACAATAGCCGACTTTTATCAAGCACTTTCTGCAAGCCAGACACTGCCTAAGCACTTTGCACGTCCTAACCGCCACCCCATTTCCAGTTAGGAAACCCAGCTCAGAGATGGTGAGCAACTTGCCCCAGGGAGCCAGCAAGTGGCAGCACCCGGATTTGGACACAAGAAGCCTGGACCCAGAGTCCCCTGTCTGACCCTAACCGTGCGCGCTGTCCAGGCCTGGGATGGTGGCCAGGCTGTCTGCTGAAAGGGCCCCCTGTCTCTCCATCCATCTAAGGAAACTGCCTAGCTGGGCTGGTGGGAGGGCCCCAGGCCACGCGGACTCCCTCCCACGGCCACTTTCCTCCCCCTCAGCCTGTCTCTTCCCTGTTTTCCTGCTTGCCGCCAGGTGCCCACACTGGGGCCTTCACAAATCCTGGGTCCCTTGGGCCACACAGAGCCTGCCTCCCTGGGTGAGGATCCCAGGAGATCACCCAGTTAGAGGGTCCCAAATCTGCCTGCACTCCAGCATCAGAAGGGAGGCTGTGAAATGCAGGCTCCTGGGCCCCAGGGCCAGGGGTCTGAGGTGGGCCCAGGAGCCCAGATTTTTCCTGCCTTTCCCGGGTGATTTCTGATGCCAGCCACATTTGGGAATCGTTTGTCCAATCCAACCCCCTGGTTCCGACTCTGGGCTCCAATGCAGCGGTCTGGGAGGTGGTTCACAGCAACGAACTGCAAGCCCCTCCCCAAGGGCCCCTGGCCCCACCTCTCAACACCCCAAGAAAACAACTGCAGTAGACCCAGCCTGCACCCCATTCCCTTGACCTGTCCGCAACACTCATTCCTTCTCCCAAAGAGGCCCCCAGTCTACCTCCTCCAGGAAGCCCCCCTTAATCTCCTCTCCTTATGTGGTCGCTCCTTAGCATGTGCAGTCTTGGTTTGCCTGGCGGCTGACATATGGTACAAACCTGCTCCTTCTCCCTTTGCCAGGCCAGAGTCACATGTTTACTTCCTTGGTCTCCCTCTCCCTCCCTGTGGCTGGGACTGAGTGTGACCAAGGCATGGCGTGCACTCTCTGGCCTTAAGCAGCAAGGTGGGAATGTGATTTTAATAAGAGCTACCACCCGTTGAGCCCTTATGAGATGCCACATGCTGCATGAAGCATGTTACATTCATATCGCATTTAACCATCAACCTATGAAGTAGGTGGTATTTTTATCCCCACTTCTACATGTGAGGAAACTGAGGTACAGAGAGGCTAAAGAACCTACCTAAAGTCACAGAACCTTGAAGTGAGATGGGAATGAGCCGGAATTCCAAATGCCCACGCTCTCTTTTTTTTTTTAGAGACAGGGTCTCACTCTGTCACCCGGGCTGGAGCACAGCAATGATAGCTCGCTGCAGCCTCCAACTCCCTGGGCTCAAGCGATCCTCCTGCCTCAGCCCCGCAAAGTGCTGGGATTATAGGCGTGAGCCTCCGCGCCTGGCCTCCCATGCACCTCACCATTTCTCTGCCCAAGAGCCCAACAACCCTGAATGCCAGGGACTGCTGGCTGCAGACCGAATGCAGCTGGAATGCTGTGGTGTGGGCACTCAATTCCAGTCACGCGGCAAAATCTTTTCCCAGCTCATCGTCAGGCATGGCCAGCGCTCTGGGCAACCCATAGGACGTGAACGTGGAGGATTTGATTCCAAGCACCAGGGCCCCGCCCACACTCTGTCTGGTCCCACCAGCCCACCTTGGGCTAAGGCCAGGCCCAGCGTCAGGGCTGACACCCACGGCTCTCGGCCCTCCCCACCTGCTGCCCAAAGTCCAGCAATGATTTCCCCAGACACACGAACCCAGGGTCCAGAGTCAGCGGAGATAAACGACAGACAGCAGAGGGGGGTGGTAAAGACAGATCGCTGGGCAAGGAACTCAGCCTCTCTGTACCTGTTTCCTAATCTGTAAAATGGGAACAATACAGATAATAGTACCTCCCTCCAGAGACTCTCGTGAGGGTTCAATGAGCTGAAGTCTGGGGTAAAGTGCTTAGTACACTGCTGTCCCGGTGGCCGCATGGGACACAGGGAGCCTCCCCGAAGACAGGGAGCTGCCTGGGCAGGTGCCGCCCTGCGCAGCAGGGATGGAGAGTGGTCACCTTCCTGAGAGCAAGGATGATGTGAGCGGCTGAGCAGGGAGGCTTGGGGAGGATGAGGAGGCTCCTGGAAGAACAGGACTCTGGGACCTCCGAAGGCACCGAATCAGCCCTGATTTGGCTGTGCCCTCTGACACCCCCCTACGCAAGCGGTTCCAGCCCAGGCAAGGCAGTGGGTGGTCAGCGTGTGTCCTCGAGTGTCAAGCATGGTCATGACACACCCAGTCTGCTCTCTGGGGAGGTGGGACTGAACGAAGCCCATCCCCCACCCTCCCTCTTCCATCACGACCCCAGGCTCGAACAGAAGCCACAAACAGGGTGTGGCAGATGGCAGGAGATGGGGAGCCCAGCACCCAGGAGCCACCTTCGACCTCCCGGGGGCTGGCCACCCACTCGGGCCTCCTCAGACCCGCCCCCCACACCACCCAGCCCGGCCAGCCCGGCTCCTGGGGCATTTCCATTCCCTGCAGTGGAACAGCGCTACCTGGAACCCCCACCCGAGGCCAGCTGAGCCTCTGATCATGGCAGCTGCCCTCTCACCACAGCCCAGCCAAGGCCTACGGGGGCAGGTGTGAGCGGGGGACCTGCTCGAAGCCTCTGCAAAAGGGAGAAAAGGCATGAGCATCCGGACTCTCGCCCCTCAGCGCTACGGACACTGGATGTGGCTTTGTTGAAGGACATTTTCTGTCTCCCACGCTGGTCTGGAAGCTCCACCAGGACAGGGCAATGTCTCCTGCCTCAGACACAGGGCTCCCTGGGAACAGAGGGCTGTGTCTCCCCCATCAGACTGGCCAGTGAGCGGGCCCAGGCCATGGGCCCTTTGCACATGCTACCAGGCCATCCCTGTGTTCAGCGTCTCCCTCACTGGGTGTTTTGACCTGTCTTACTGCCCTGCTGGGATACTCCAGGACAGCCGGCGGCCTTGGGCCTCGGGGAGAAAATGCCCTTTGCCAAGGGCCTTTAATGGGCCAGGCATTAAGCTGAAGTCTCACCAACTCATCCCATGGAATCCTTGCAAGAGCGCTAGGAGTGAGGTATTATCACCTCCGTTCTGCACGCTAGAACAGCAAGCCTCATGGAGATTAAACACCAAGCCTCGTGGAGATTAAGCGCAGACTTTACCGCTGGGATACGTGTTGCCTTGGGCACAACCTGGCACAAAGGTGCTACTCAAGAAATGGTGGCTCCCATCCCTTCCCCTGGCCCAAGGGTCACAGAGTCCGGGTTCCTTCTGGCGGTATGGGTCCCAGCTTCTCCAGGAGGGCGAGCTAAGGGGAAGAGGGTGCCATGGAGGATATGGCCAGTTTGGCTTTGCTTCACCGGGACTGTCCACAGTCTATGCCCTCCTCCGGGCAGCCCTGGGAGTAGCCCATGCCAGGGAGGGCTGGGGAGGAGAGAAGCACCCACTCAGGACAGTGGGGCACACTTTGGAAGCCAAGCTGCCTTGAGGAAGCAGAAGGAGCACTAGACTGGGAGTCCAGCTGACCTTGGACCAACTGCCCCACAATTGGACAACCCTAGGCAGTCACCGCACCTCAGTTTCCTCTGTGAGTTGGGGAGGGAAGACCAGCCTGGCAGGGGGCCGAGCAGACCGCAGGGGACATGCTTTCATGAAAGTGTAGACTGCTCCACACCTTCTACCTCCGCCTCCCCCCCAAGTCCCCCCAAGGCCCTTTGGGCCCACAGTTGTCAGGCCTAGTGGCTCTAAGCTGGGCTGGGGAACCAGACACACTTGACCCAAGCTGTGTGGCGTTGGGTAAGTAGATCAACTCTGGAGCCTCAGTTTGCCCAGCTGGAAAATGGGTACTGGAAGGAAACCCTTCCAAGGGTAGCCATTGTGCTTAACTGATGCCTGGCCCATAGTAAGGGCTCCATAAATAGCAGCCACTGTTGGTTATTACTGTGAGTCCCATTATTATTTGAGCCTCTCTGGGCTGAACGGGACTTAAACTGTCACCCCCTCCTCCCCAATGCGCGAATGTGGGAACCGCGGCCCCAAGGGAGGAAGTGATTCGTCCAAGTCACCAGCGAGCAAGTAAGTGGACAAGTAGGCGGACTCCCACACTCCCTCCCCAGCCCGGGCCTCCCATTCAGATCGGTCCCTACCGAGGCAGCCCCAGCCCCTGCCCCGCTCCCGCCCCGGCCGCCGCGCCCTCACCCTCCGGCTTGGCGTCGCCCTTCGCTTCGGCCAGGAGCAGCCAGCCCAGCGGTACCAGGAGCAGCAGGGGCCGCATGGCCGGTCTGGGGACGATCGGCCAGCCCGGAGGCTCGCAGGGCTGGAAACTTCGCGACGGGGTCGGCGGTCCCTCTGCCACGCACTGGGCCCGCCCCGGGGGCGGTGTCGCGCCGCCCCTCTCCGCCCAGGGGAAGGTTTTCCGGCAGATGTGCCCGAACCGAGGCCTCTCCTAGTTGGGGCAGCTCCCTCCGGCCTGTCTCTGCAGCTCCCGGGTTCCTCCTGCGGGCCCTCCTTCCTCCCTCCCCGTGAGGGGGTGGCGGGGCGGGTCACTACCGCCAGAAGAAGGGGAGAGGGGAGCGAGGCCACAATTTCCATGGCCCAGATTCTGCGACAAGGCTCAGTTTGCTCACCTGGAAAGTGGGGCTTGTAATAGCGTCTGTTTGTTGGGTCTAACACGGGTCAGTGACGTTCTTAGCTGTAGCTCACTTAGAACTGCACCGGCGACAAGTCCCCAGCAAGCCAGCTCTTAGGATTTCATTAGTTCTCCTGGAAACCCAAGGGGTAAGGGCAGAGCCTGGAGTGGGCGAAGGTGGGCAGGAATGTGTTTGGAGGCATCCACACCCCTGCCGGCCCTCCTGGCCGCTGGAAATGCGGAAAGTACATCTCCACCTAACCTTACCCCCCAAAAGGGATTCATCTCATGGGCCTTTACATCCCAGGGAGACCAACCTCTGAGCCAGAGTCAGTCTTGCACCTGGGGTTCATTGTTGGATGAATAAATGAATGAAGGAAAGTTTGAAAGGCCTCTTCACAGATGCCCACCGCCCAGTAAACATCTCAAGGGTCTCTACGGCAAGGGCTCCTGGACCAGATGTCAGCTAGGGGCATCTACGTCTCCAGAAAAACCCTCCCTTCCTCAGAAGAGACCTCAGGCAGCGACCTGGGAGCCTCTTCCCAGCAGATTAGGCTCCAGAGGGGTAGGGGGGTGGGGGTGCAACCCTGGCCTGGCAGGGTCTCCCCTGGAGGGGGCAAAGGAGTGAAGGGGAGGAATGAACTGGGTGTCAGTGAACAACACAGGGCAGGCCATGCGTTGGTGCTGGGAAGAAAGAAACCCACAGCGCTCAGACTGCTGCAGCAAGGGATACCACCACCCACAGAGGCTCGAGTGCAAAAAGCCGAACACACAGCACCGCCCACTCAGTAAAAATATATTCTTGTCGACGTAGATGCGCATAGAGATCACGCTGCAAGAAAAGTACAACCAAATATTTACAGCGATTATTTCCAGCTTGTGGCATGATTTTATTTTATATATATATATGTATATATATATTACATACGTTGTATAGTTTTTATTTTCTTGTTTATATTTTTATTGTTTTTTCAATGAATACACATATGCTATGTGTACAATTCAAACGAAGTCAACACTTTATTTTTATTTACTTATTTATTCTTAGAGACAGAGTCTTGCTATCATCCAGGCTGGAGTGCAGTAGTGCCACGATCATAGCTCACTGCAGCCTTGAACCCCGGGCCTCAAGCGATCCTCCCACTTCAGCCTCCCGAGTAGCTGGGACTACAGGAGTGCGCTACTGCACCTGGCAACACACGTCATTTTCACAAGATGGGTAGATCATTTGGAGATCGTCTCATTGTACAGAGATTTGCTCATTGCACAGATGGCAGAGGTGAAGCCCAGAGGCACCCAGAAGCGAGCTCAAGGTCACGAGGCAAGTAGGGGGAAGAGGCGTGAGCAGAATCCAGGGCTTCTACCTTCCAGCTGGGACCCAGGGCTGGGAGTTTCTGCAGCTGGGGACAGGACTTGGTGCCAGAATGCAGCGGATGTTTTGGATTCAAGAGGATGCAGACTGAGATTCCAGACGTTTGGAGGAGGAAATGCCAGGATGAGCAGAGGGAGGAGAATGAGCATGTGTTGGCCGGATCGATTTTCAAAGCTCTCGCTCATTCCATGCTCACAACAGCCCTGCTAGTTAAGCAGTACTGTCCTCCTTTGGGAAACGAGGAAACCGGGACCAGAGAAGTGAAGCAATCTGCTCAACGTCACACAGCTAATGTGGGACCACAGTAAGGGAGGCAGCACTGGAACCAAGCTCTAACTCCCCATTTGCTGGGGTCCAAGGAGAACCTCAATGATGATGTACTGTGAATAGAAAAAAATCCTTGGGCAGTGGGAGTCTCATGCATGGCCCAAGTCCCCAGAGTCGCAGTAAGTCAGGCGTGGGAATCAATCTTAGAGACTTCTGGCCTCTCCAGGAGGAAGGATTCACTCTGGCAAAGCCTGTCCTGTATCCCTTTGGATCTGTGTCCTGTTCCCTTCACCAAATTGCTGGGACTTGAACCCCATCCAAGCTTCCTCCAGAAGGAGGGCCTGTCTCTTTAACCAGTGGTGGCTGCTGTCCAGATGTTACTCCTGGTACGTGTTGCACATGCTGTGGGCTGTTAAAGGCACAGGCCTGTTTTACTGGGAAGGTGCAGAAAGGACAGCTGGCCTGGAGGGGAGCTGCCCCGTGCCATGAGGAGCTTTTCTCACTTTTATCCTTCGTCAGCCTGAGGAAGAGCAATGGCCTCAGTGGGATGGCCACACTCTGTGCTGCCAGATGGGTTGTCACCTCCCATGGGACTGAGCCCCCCTAAAATAATAATAATAATAATAGAATTTCCAAGCTGTTCCCTTAAGTGAAAAAAGTCAGATGCAAGTATATATCATATGCTACAACTTCTGTGAAAGGAAATGTAAAGATAGATGTATCTATACTTATATGTATGTATCCATAAGCAAACAGAATGTCTGGAAGAATATCCAAGGAACAGGTAATCATCACCCTTCACCCTTTTGTGCTTTTTGAATTTTGTATCATGTACTGGTGTTTCGAGTTTCCTAGTACAAATAAATTAAATAATTTAAGCCAGTGTGCAAAAGGCTTCATATGCTTGTCCACTTTAAGTCTCAGCAATTCCACTTTGTCCTATGATCCTCATTCTATGGATGAAGAAAGCAAGACCCTGGGAGGTTAGCCAACTTGCTATCAAGGGGCAGGGCCAAGATTCGAAACTCAGGCAGCCTGATGCCAGGTCCTTACTCTGAACCCCTGGCTTTGCTGTGGCTATGCTGCTGACCCTTGGCTATGAGCCCCACCACCTCTGCCCACCCCCGCCCCTGCCTTGGGGTGTTTAAGAGTGAGAGCAAAGGGAGTTGAGAGCATGAGCAAAGAGCCTTCTCTTTGTCCCAGGAATCTGCTTCAGGAATTGCTCCCCTAGAAACATTCACAGAAGTGGGCCAATATATATGTCTATTATACCAGTGTTTGTGGCAAAGATACTTATATAGGTTTACATTTCCTGAGCACTTACCGTGTGTCATGCATCATGCTTGCTCTCCCTGAATGAACCTCTTTATCCTCAGAACCACCAGAGGCAGTTTCTCTGGTCATCTCCATTTCACAGATGGGATCGAGGCTGGCTGGTCCTTTGCTCACCTCCCTGGGCCTCCCAAATACTTCTGCCTCCTGAGGGGGCTGGAATGATCGCTTTCTATAATATATTAATAACTGAGGTCGTGGATTCCCATGTGTTCCTGAACATGTTCTGTGGGGCGTATGAACTCACAATGAGAGTTTAGAATGTTGTGTTTGTGTTTTGACTATGATCTTTTTTTAAAAAAGTGGAAACATATTGTAGGATCCCCTGGACAGGCACCCTCTGACAAATACTTCTGTGTCTGCTCACAGCCCACCAGAAGCCACCTCAAATGACTGTTTAATTTCCAACGACTGGGAAGCACTATTTGGCTTTGGAATGTCCTGAAACCAAAGCAGAAAACAATCGCCCGTTGTCCGCTCCCATGCACATGTTGAATTTTTTCCTAAGACACACAGCACAATTTCTCTTTTGCATTGATGATCCACAATTTAAAGCCATTTTGAAAATATGAGACTTTAGAGTCTTATTTAATAAGTTAAAACTCAGGGTCAAGCAGACGATAAGGTGGAGCAGAGACACTGACAATGCTGCGCTGGCTCTGTGTCCCTGCGTGGCGTATGTGCAGCCAAACAGGTCTGCAAGATTGTCAACAAAATGTCTCCTACGAAGTCTAGTTTCCAGGGGTTACTTTCTTTTTTTCTTTCTTTTTTTTTTTTTTTTGAGACAGTCTCACTCTGTTGCCCGGGCTAGAGTGCCGTGGTGTCAGCCTAGCTCACAGCAACCTCAAACTCCTGGGCTCAAGCGATCCTTCTGCCTCAGCCTCCCGGGTAGCTGGGACTACAGGCACGCGCCACCATGCCCGGTTAATTTTTTCTGCTTTTAGTTCTTTGGCTAATTTCTTTCTATTTATAGTAAAGATGGAGTCTCGCTCTTGCTCAGGCTGGTCTCGAACTCCTGAGCTCAAGCAATCCTCCCCCGCCTTGGCCTCCCAGAGTGCTAGGATTACAGGCGTGAGCCACCGCGCCCGGCCTTTCTTTCTTTTTTTTCCCTGTACTTTTCCATACTGTTGCAAGTTCTTTTGCAGTGAGGATCATCATTTGCACAGAAACAATACAGTTGTGGTTTTATTTTTAATCTTAAGGCTGCTGAATCCATCAGTAGCAAACGGGGCCCAACACGTGTTCAGCTTGGCTGGCTCGATGTTTTTCTTAACAAGTGAACTGGATGCTTCCAATCCTCCCCAGACCTCTACACTGACTCCGTTCGACTTCACGCTTCGGGCCTGGGAACGGGTGGTCCCGCCCACGGCGGCCTCTGTCCCGCCCTCGCGGTGGAACCGCCTCCTCTCCAGACCCGCCCCTCTCTCCTCCCTCCGCCCTCTCCTTTACCATCTGTCGCAAAAGACGCAGCGGCGCTTGACGGCCGGCGTCGTTTGACGGCTGAGGGCAACCGAGAAGAAGGAGGAAGCAGTGGTGGCGGCTGCTGCGGCGGCTGCGGCTAGGGCCGAGGTGGTCGCCGGGGTCGGAGCCCGGGAGTGAGGCGCGGGCGACCGGGCCTGTGGGCTGGGCGGCGGGCCCGGCGGCCGCTCCCGCGCCCTTGCCCGCGCCTGGCGGCCCGATGTGGCTGCAGCAGCGGCTTAAGGGGCTGCCGGGACTGCTGTCGAGCAGCTGGGCCCGCCGCCTCCTCTGCCTGCTCGGCCTCCTGCTGCTGCTT